TACGTAATGGCTTTTAATATTCAAGCACGATATCATCGAATCGAATTACCTGACCGTAGCTAATTAAAATTCATTAGCGCGACCTTAATCGTTTGGCTCGAACGCATATCGATTACGATTTCAAATTTTAGAAATTTTCAACGTAGCCTTTTGTTATGCTCGTATCGACCATTCAATTTGTTTTTATATTTCTATCCCAACAAACCAGCTCCTATCTGTAGTATTTAATTACTCGTGTTTCGTGTTAATTTTTTTTTTATTTCACGTACAGTATTCTGTAGTCTGTATTAATTTCCAATATGAAATTGGAATTTTTCATTGATCCGTTGTTATTACCCAACCGGTCGTCAACTCTCGAATAATGTTGATGCGCACAATGGGAGATGTACACAAGTCATGTACCTAGAGTATCTCTATGGTGTGTGTATATATATATATATATATACATAAATATAATCTAGTGTCACATCCAGCCGCGAAAGTATATAACTCGTAGAGAACAAGGGGTATTCTATAGTGCGCATTACGCTATCCAGCACTCCATGCGCATCCGTGACATATCACGACCGCGCGTACCGTACAGTAATCTTCGTTAAATTTATTCGCCCATGAGATTCTCATTGCGAGAGATCATCAGTAACGCTTTTCGGACGTTGATTTACAGTTAACCCGAAGAGTCAAAGTTATCCGAATAGGAGTGACCCGGCTAATTTGTATCCGTAGCCGTATTAACGCGTGCTTACCGTTATCGTCCGCGTCTTATGGGAGCGAGTTTAAGTCACCGCCATTTTGAATTTCGATGCAACTTCAATCGACATCCTTAACGTCAGAACATAAAAAAACGAGCGGAGTCAGTGAACAGTCTCATAATATTTCATTCCGTCATTATTGTTTCAGATACTAGAGACCATTAAGGAAATTGAAAAGTTTGTCTTCCGCGTTGCAGCCTAAGTTAAAACGACGTCTACTGGCTGTCCCATAGAACTCATCAATGTATAAAGCTAGCTTACCCAGCATTCCACTTCCTTCCAGACTCCAGTACCTTCGATTCCATTTATCACTGTGCTTACCCGACGTCTGTAGTTTGATGCCAAAAACAAAAGTTACCGAATTCACTTTTCCAGTATCGCCATATTCAAAATACGAGTCAATCTCAAAGTTCGCATCGTTAGGAATTCGTTTCGCGATGTCAAAGTTATGAAAAAAGCGCTGCGAGCATCAGACCGCAAATAGCCACTTTTAAACGACACTCCCAAACACAAGACGTCACAAGGAACGTCATCTCTTACCCTATACAAGCTTGGCAACCATTGTCCTCCGTCGCCATTGTAAAAAGAGAAATTCGTCCTCCATTCATTCCAGACCGATAGAACCTTCAGTCAGTCTCTCGAGCGGCAAAACGTGCTACGAGAAGACGAGCGCACAGGAAGACGTAGGTATTAGGAAAAAAGAAAACTAACCTCAAAACTTCTTCGGCACTCGGCCACGTGTCTGTGGCAATGCCCATTAGTGTCTATTCCGTGTAATATAACAGCGACTGAAATCTGACATTTTTCTTCCCACGTGACAAAGAAATGTGTACTCTCGATTTCTCCAGGAATATCCAGGCATATCGAGAGAGATACTGTTATAATTCTCTTTCATCTCGCCTCTCTCTCTCACTCTCCCGTAGACAAACACAACGCCGATACTCCTACGCTCTTATCGCACGTTCCTGAATCACACGTCGCACACGTGTTCACTACGGTTCGTGCCAAAGTACTAATAGTATCTTATGTACTTCGTAAGAATATAGGTGTACGTGCATAAATCCAATGCACGTAACAATGCGCTTTATGCACGAATACCCGATATCGTTCGCAGCGCATTAACGTAAATCGAAAACTACATAACCTACATCCGTGGATAATCTCTTACTCACTGCCGATCCACGACAAAGACCAGAAACTTCGGTACTGTTGACACCCGGCTGAATCCCATCAGACTTTTCCTCCTTCTCTAACTCATACCTTTTGTCAAACAAAGAAACCCCGAGGAGTCGCGCGCAACCCAGATCCAGGGACGTATACGTCAAGGGTCCCTATTTTAAAGCGGGCTAAATTTTTTTAACTAAAAAAAATTTTTTTTCTTCTCAAGATACTACGGAGCCAATTAACGGATCGTACTCGTGACGTAGAGTACTTCGTCGGATGACGACATCGACCATGCTGGGATACTTACGTTCATTCACTCTTGCAATTACGCGCTCTGCTCGCCGTTCACTTACTCGTTCAGTCGGTTACGGTATTTCAGTCGGCCTCTCAGTTCGTCTGACAGTGACGAATTCACAGCGTTACTCGTACTTGTATACTCGGCGTTAATCTTACTGATATACTTAATGAGGATTAGTATTTTTGGAAGGCTGTGTTACTACCCACGTCTGGTATGTCACTCTTCTCGAATGCAATTAACACGACCCACCAATCACGCTCGTTGGACGCTCCTGTCCTACGTGGTTGTATATAGATATAGTCTTACGTATACTCAACGTATATGCTTATTATTATTTTTATTAATCATGCCCCGTAATCAGTAATAAAAGCGTTATGGTTTCTATTACCGCGAATATTCATAGATATTTTGATTTTCTCTTAGCAACGATTTTCCAGCGAAATTAAAGCTCCCAAGGTACCCAAGAAAATAGCGCCAACTTCGTAACTCGCGATGCATTGTTCGCTTATGGCGACGCGCAAAGAACGGCTAGTTAGACCTTCAGATCGCTCAGTTGGAAATCCTAGGTTAACAAGACCCAGTCTTGTCCACGGACAGATATGCTCCGTTAGCCCATTGTCCACCAGTATCAACGAACCTAGTATTTACTATTTGCCAGTAGTCAATCGGGCAGAACGGTGACTGTCCTCCCCCACCTGTTCGTCATTTAGTATGCATACAGTAAGAAACCATTATGACCGTGATCAGAGGAAGTATACATTCCAGAGGCAAATGACTCATTCTCATTGACACTTAATTTTATTATTATCACGCGCTGAATTAGCGGTACGAGTATTCTGGCTGTATAAAATAATCATAATGGCTGCTCGATACATTTTTCAACTCACTGATTGCACGTTCCATATTTATCCCGAAGGTGTGGGTTACATTATCTTGAGAATGCGTGGAGGTCGGTATCTCCGAAGCATACTCTTCAGCAGTCTGGACGATGGACTTCCGGTGTGCGTTTCGCACGATGTACGCATAGCAGGAGAGCTCGTGTTTCAGTTTGTATCGTTATAGGTATACAGTGAGTGTACAAGGGTGGGTACGGGTATCGGCATGACGTCATAGCATTTCCAAAAGGTTCATATCGCCGTTATACTACAGTTCGTATACCTTGTATACGGTATAATGTGTATGCAGGCGTATTGGGCGAAACTATCGACACTTTAGGTTGGACGAAATTTCTTGCAGACCGGAAACCTTCGGGCAGTCGTCGATATACGTGTTAATTTCGTTGCTCGAGATATTTCGGTATGTGGTCTAAAGATGATCGATATGGTCAAGGGAATAATTAAGGCGATTCTCAATTACGCGAATGTCTAAGAAAGTGTCGCCCGTTGAGAACGACGGCTCGTGTTTTAACGTTAAGCTTCAATTACGGGTTCCCAGACTTTATCAAGCAGGGCCTACGCTTACTGGCTGATTAGCTCCCGTCGCTCGTTGCACGTAAGACTTGCGTCATCGTCGCGACCCCATTTATTACCCTGACAGGGTGCAGTAGCGATTGAGGAAGTGAAATGGGAATTTCGGTAGCTGGTAAGTGAAATGGGGTAGTTGATGGTTTTTGAAAGGCTTGTCTAAAAATAGATCTTGGTATATCATTTATCAAGGGAACTGTAGATTTTCATTATAATAATGAACGGCCGAATGGTCGCTGTGTGTACTCGCCTTAAACTTAATAGAGTTAAACCACGTGGTTTTTGGGAGCGCCCTGAAAGGTTCCTGCCCCTTCGATCCAAAAAATTTTTCCAAATTTCCCATTTTTCAGCTTTCCAATTTTCAAAATTCTCCCCCCCCCCACTCTCTTTCTCTCAAAAATCAGGTCACGGCTATTAATAGAGCAGTCACGCCGCACAATACAGACCGAAGAATCGATAAAGATTTGTAAACGTCACTGCGGATCCAGGATTCGTCGTTTTTGCTTCGAGGTTACATTACTGTTTTATTGACATTCAAATAACCGATATGCCGTGCACGATAGGACGAAGGCGGAGATTGATATCGCAGTGACACGTCATCGCCAACAGGACAAAGAACATTATACCTTCGAGCCTCAGGCAGCCCTATGCGTGTCCGACATTCTCGTGCAACGGGGTGCACGGAATTCATCTTAAGCAGCCGCCATAAATCACTCAAATTTCATGCGCGAAACATGAATATCTTACAAACATCACGCACGGCTAATATTTTCTATAAGTAAACCACCCTCGAGAATTCACTTATACACCGTGTACATAAATAAAACCCGATGCCGTACCTAGCCCGGTGACTCTAACTTAGGCACTTAGGCTACGTTCCTTAATCTTTATAAAAGAATAGCATATCGAACCCGAGCTCCTACCTACCAAGGAAAATCGAAAGTAAGCCAGAGACGCATAAAGAATTTTTAGCCATAGACCCTAACCTGAGCTCATCGCAGGAAACGCATTGTCACGCGAAACTGGATGCACCGGAAGTGTCCAGTCGACTAAAACCACAGTAGTACAGTGACTTGGGAAGTTTCGTGTTTCGTGGTGAATGTTCGCCAATAATAATAACAACAGCAGTGATTAAGGGTACCCAAGCCATTAGACGGCCCTGACGACACGGGCCTCACACTTCTTAACGAGCTCTATCCTCCTCCTGGCCAATTATTCGGCCCTGTAGTTAACCCGCGGCCAAATTGCCACCGGGAATCGGAACGGAACGAGAAGTGGAGTAGAAATGCCCTGGACCAGGTGCCGTATATTATATTTTGATTCCAGGTCAAAATGAACGGACCGGTCTACGCGTCATCGTGTCCGGCCCTGCAGTCCAACTTGTCCCTGCACAGTTCATCGTACTACAGCGAGTACAGCGGTGCCACCAGGAGACGACTGTCTTCTACGGGGGAAGCAGACACTTCGGCTACCTCGAGCTACGAGGGCAGCGACAGTTCGGAGAACAGCGACGAGACACGCTTGGATCCCGTCAGTCAGCTGGAACGCGAACAGCTGGAGACCTTCTTCAGGGGTCTGAAGTCTCAGGTAGGTGGAACCCTGAAATCAATAAGATCGATAAGTTCGATCGATTTTTTAACAAACCTTCTTCACTATTGGCATTTAGGTATTCGTATGCGAATCTCTGGCGAACTTGTACCTGGGTAGCGCCTCTCAGACGGAGACCTGGGAGCTGCGGTTCACGGGGATACCGGTGGTCGTCCTGGACTTGGGCGAGACCAGATCAAGATCCAAGAGACGCATTCAAATTCTATTGGCTGAACGCGGCACCTGCTTCACACTTTGGAGAGAAACTATCGATAATCTTTCCTCGTATAAGGCGAGTATTATTTGCCCTAACCGTGTGATCATTCCTGGCAGTGATTTCGGAACTTTGCTTGGGTACCGGTTCCGTACGAAACGGAGAACCGGATGTGACTTTTGGTACGGTGTGTAAGGAGTCGTTGTACTGTGACGTAAATACGCTGACTACGAGACGGTACCGCGATACGCAGTTCCTGCGCTCAATTTACGTTGCTGCCAATCCGAACGAGGCTCCGATTTCTAAGCTGATGACGCACCGTCTCTAATTACTATTGCGAGCGTATTTTATTAGGAACAATAGTTACCGTACTCATATTGTTATTCAATTTTTTATTGTCATCCGCAGGTGTCTGGACCAGCGTTTCACACCATGTGTCTCTCGTCGGATCACACGCGTCTGGCTGGACTGAGCTTCGACAATTCAAAGGCGGCTAATGATCTCTGGCAACACATAGAACGTCTGGTGTCGTGCCCTGAAAACATAAGCTTATCGGTACCGGGAAAGAAGAAGAAGAAACCGGCCCAGAAGAAGATCATCTTACCTGCCAAGAGCAACATCAGCCAGCCCTGTCAATTTCAACACGTGACCAGCGTTGACGCTGCTGATAGATCAAGATACTTCTCACTGCAGACCCTGGTACCAGCCTTGAGCGAACTCGAGAATTCACTGGAAGCCACGTTCTAGATTTCACTAGACTTCAAAATATCCCTATAATGCGTTCACGTCATCTGACTACTCTAAAGGATAACTAAGCTGTTGTTAATCTACGATTTTCCATCTTTTTTTTTTTTTATTTAGAACTCTGCGCGTTTATTATTAAGTCACTAGTATCGGCTTTTATTTTTAAGTTATACCTAGGACGTTCTAGGGACATTCGAGCGACTGCCGAAAACACTCTATGGTTTCCATAACAGGATCTCATTGTAATACCGAGTATGGAACGCTAGGTATATTATGCTAGTGACAGTCAGATGTCATGTTTCATGAAAATTAATGAGAAATAGGCGATAAGCATCGTCCTATTGAAAACAATCAAAAACCACGATATATACATGTATGTTGTCTTAAGCGGAGCAAAGAAACCCGGATGGTTCACCAGTTCCACACATGAGACACTCGTCTCAAAAGAGGCACACACGAGTCGTATAAGTTTACTTTATGGGATCCAATTGAGGAGCATGTGGGTCTCATGTGTACGCGACTGCATCTGTTCTGGTTCCGTGAGGCCATTGGCCACTGAACCGTGCGTTTGGATTCTTAAGATGCTTTTTCAAGTTTACCGCTTCCGGCTCCACGAGATTGTCCCAAGGTCTAATCGAATTTCGCGCTCTTTGTAGGAACCGGAAATTGGTTGAACTCGACGGATGCGGCGGGAAGTTTGAATAAACGTAAATAATAAAAAATTAATTAGAAAACGCATGAGACTGCACGTCGTACTAGTGCTATGACATCATACTGTCGTCATTGTCGTCGCCCGACTCGTCGCGTCAATTGTGATTGCGACATCCGCGGGCACGAGAGTCGCTCGTCGCGATACTTCAAATTGTCGCGGCGGCTTTAAGTGACTCGTTAAATTATAAATGACATATTACATATATATATATATATATATGAGGTTATCAAGTCGCGTGAACTTTGCTTTCATTTGTCGCGTCAACAGCCTTGTTGGGGATTCGTACAAAAGGCTTTAAGGATTCGGTAATCGAATGGAAACATGTAAATCACCGACATAATCGCGACTATGAAAATTAATCATACCGGTTTTATGTATATACATAAATCAATGTCAATGATATATACAACAGTCTAATCTATCAAATGATACAAATTACAAGTTACGTTACACATGTATAACACGATAGAAATAAGTTATTATGCATGCTACGTTGAGAATGATTAATATCTTGTAACGATGAAGAAAAGAAAAAAAAAAAATTGGAAATAGTAGCCACAAAACCTCCCGAGAGGGATTCCATTAATAGATGGAATTAGAGACGTAGACTATTACGAAGCTTTCGATCTTGCCTCGAGACGTACTGTTTTAGAATATCATTGGAATATGAAAAAAAAAAATCTTTTTCGAATCTTTTCGATTATATTTTATCGCGAGATTATACTGCGTACGAATATTCTCGAGATGCGTCGTGCTTCGTGGATGTTGATTCCAGCAGCCCACAAGAAGACTGGTATTACCATCTTACGATTTAGCCATAGTATTATTTTTACTTTGTTTTATCTAGTAAAAGTTTCATCTCGTTCGTTTCGTCGTGCGACGAGCCTTGAATTACTGTATTTGTTATATTCATTTATTTCGACTTTCATGAATCATCGGGTACGTTTACCAGCATGGATTTATTATTAGTAATAAGTAAACGCAGAGGCGTCACTGTTATCGCGCAATGTAAACCTTCTTAAGGATCGTTTTCAATCAAACTTATCGTTATCTTATCAGTGTCGAGGAAATATTGTTAAGGAGAGCCAAAACTCGTATGTTCTGTCTTAATCGAAGTCTGTAACTTTTAAAGCGTACTCAGAACTTTTGTGCTGGTTTCAGCAAATCTTACGTGCCCAGTTCTTCCCACTAGTTGTCAGACACAAAGTTCCATAAGGCTGTTGGGCCCCTTATTTATTAGCATCTCCTCGGTGGTTTTATATAAATCCTTTCTGCGTAGGGAAAACACGCGACCAACTCGTAGAACTTATGAGAAAATATGTATCCTCGTTTAACAATAGGCATCGTATGACTTATTTTTTATGTCTCCTTGTCAATCACGCTTTAAGATGTATTTTTGGAATTGATTATTAAATCGAAAGGGACGCGTGAATTCCCTATGGATTTTTAAATTTGTATGCTCATCTTGGCACTCTTTCTCTCCGTTTATCATTAAAATATTTTGTTTATCTACGACTGTGATATAAATATATTTGTAACGTTACGTTTGGTAACCCATTATCCACAGTAATCGATCATTCTAGCTGATAAGTTTGTCACTTTCGTTATAGTGATGTAACGATTGCCCTAATAAAATGTCTGTAATTCGGATTTAGGTTGGTTTTATACTCATATACGGTCATGCAAGCGGTGAGCAAGCTCAGTGGATGATACGGAAAGACAACCCCCGATACCATGTTCTATACGTGTAGCTACTCTACAGGGTCACTACCCTTATATGACTACTCAACTGAATATGCTGACCAGACCAAAGGAATGGGACAAGTAAGACAAGCACAATGGGAAGTGAGAGGGAACAGAGTGAAACTAGAAGATAGAAATAAAAGAATCCAAAAAGAGAAAAGTAAGAAATAGAGGTATAAAAGTAGAGAAGAAATAAACATAGAAGAAGAAGAAGGTTGGAAATGGATAAGAGGGGTGCTTCCAAGAGACCACTATAGGAGACCGGCTCGAGGAAGAATGAGTGCTCCGAGTGCAGGCACTGTCATCAACGCTCCCCTCACTCTCTGGTTACCCCTGGTTACAATTACTCATCGAGTTCTGCGCGAGCTGCTAGATGGCAATGGTGATTCCGTCATTCGCACTTACGGTTACCTACAGTCGATAATGGAGAAAGAAATGGAAAATTCTATAGATAAATATAAATAGGAGAATCCCCTAAATACCGGCACTACAATAATACTCGTTATACATAGGGTTGTGTTCGTATGTGCCATCATTGTTCAAAAAAAAAAAGCATTTACAATATTCTTTTAAAATAGTTATAGACGTTAAATATAATTCTTGAAGTAAAAGTTCAATCTTAATAAATAATCAATTACACATATCTTTATATTAAAAATAACGCGTTGCCTGCCAACAAATATTTTCTACTTCAAACTTGTACCAAAATTTCTCCGGGTGTTTCTTTCACGAAGATCGATATCAACCAAATGATTATATTCGGCTATTTAACTATGTCATATACCAATGAAATTCAATCTAATTGTAAATCTTACATCCTGGCGACCTCTCGACGTAACGAAAATTGCGTTATCCTTGACCTTAACCAAAAGGAGACCTCCGGCAAACGAGGACGTGGCTGGGGCAATAACCGGCTGCTGGGCGATCTTCTGTCAACCGGCTGGCAGGACCAGACGAGCTATCTATAATCGATCGCTGGAAATAATCATTCGGGTAACTCCGATAGGACCAATTGAAAGGGCCCACCGAAAGTACTACGAGCTGTATGAAAAGTGTCCTGGCTTGGTTAGATCGGGTGGGTACCATCCGGATCACGAGCGTGGGACGGAAATAGCTGAATAAAAAATAATTCATCACAGTGACTAATTGGAGACCGTGTCCTGGTGGCAGAGGGAGGAGAACATAGAGGTGCACGTACAACGAAGCGACAAGGTGAATAATTGAACCAGCCTAATTGAAGAGATGGCGAACGAGTGGTGGGTTTATAGAATTTTTCATTTTTTAGTTACGCAGACGAGACTGTAGAGAACTTTACGATCACCCTGTAGTAACGTACCTATATCTGGGTGCTCCAGATAGATGCGTCCGATATGAGGCCCGGGCCCAGGCTGAAGTAATGAGAGGCCCAAAGCCGCCTTCTGCGTGTATCGCGCCCTCGCTTGTTTATGGGAATCATCAGATGCACATCGAGATCGTGACTGCGGGTGGATGGGACTCATGGGAGCGTATGCCGACCGAGTTGGGCCCAAAATCCTCTTACTACAGACATTAACGATTTACAGTCTGCATATAATGAAAATCTACGTAATAAGGCCCAAACACCATTGCATACGTAATCGCAGTCAATTCTACCGAAGTGTGTAACTATCCTACGCGTTACTTGTAACAAATAAAACCTAAAGGCGTGACACTTGCCGCACGCATAATTTCGCATCGGTACGTGTCCCGGGGCCCGAGAAATTATATGCAAAAATTCCTAGGTCGGCGCACCCGGACGCCGCGAATGCTTTCCTCGCCCTGCGTAATGCTTTCGGCTCTCCTTTTCGACGTGGGACCTACATAGAGTTGAGCCCCAAATAGGTATCTCCGATGTGAAATCGTATTAACATTCTTATCGTGCAACGCTGACGCTATTATACGATACATTATCCTGACTCCATGAAACTCAAAATGAAAAAGGTGGCCTTATACAAAAATCAATGGGCTAAGCCTTCTGTGACGCTTTCGCGACGCATACCTGTCAGGCCCCAAATCACTCTAAACGACCACGTCTCCATTGGCCCAACGCATAAATATGCATATACACTTATGCACACAGAGTGTAGGCAGTGCATAGTCTTTTTGATTTTTTCTCTCTCTTTCTCTTTCTTCTCTTCTTCCCAGGGTCTTACACAGAAATTCCTGTCCCGTTCGTCGCTTACGGTGCCCGCACTCCGTGAGACGGTTGGTGAATGTGAAAATTAATTGGAAAGAGGCTTTGCCGATCCATAATCGATACGACCTCACGCTGAGGAGTATCTCCCTTCTGATTCTCCTTCCCACACTGTGTCCTCGCCTCTCTCTCCGCGCTCTAGCATACGCCACCACGCACCAAGAAGACGAGGGACCGGCACTGCAAGGAATTTCCAAAGAGTACCAGGGTATGTCCTAAGACCGTGGTGCCCGTAAACCAGCTTCAAAAACTGTTAGGCGTGAGAGGAATGTTTGCGAATATGAAAACGTACGGAAAATGGGTCGCGAGCCATCACGTTCTCTTGGCTCTCGAATCCATGATAGCGTTCCGCAATTTAACATCTTCGACAGCTCCATCTATATACAAAATATACCACAAACTTATATTATACGAACATTAAAAAAAAAATCGGAAGTACGTCTATACAGTCTCTCTGTTCCGTTGACGCTTGTCATAATACTGTCTCACTTTTATCACTCGTAAGTATATCTATATCTCTCGCCATACCTGGTATTGAGAAAAGTCTCATGGAATTCACCGGACAGGAAGCGTTCGGCATGCCGGACAAGGGACACGGCGACTGACTTCAGGATCGAGAGCCGTCGCGATCGACTACGGGGAATCGGTAAGCCGTCAGTGTGTTTCTGGAACTCACGTAGCATTGAGACAACTCGTGTTACCCTCGAGATCGTTTCTTTGTCTGTTTGTCAGCGCGATGCAGTCTGAGTATTGCAGCTTAGCCAATCATGGGCTTCTGGATGTCCTATTCCTATGGACGTATATTCTCTTAAAGAATTCAAGCACGAGTAGTATAATTAAGTCTCGCAGAAAAATTCTTACAAGTGAAATTCACCTTAGAGAAAAGTAACCGCACGTAAGGATCGTGGATATACGTAATTGCGTCTTGAAGAGTGTGAAAGCACCTCGAAATCAGTGTTCATAATAAAGACGACAGATGGCGCTCGCGCTAGTACAAACTTGCAATGAATCTCCTTACCTGCAAAGATACTCTGTTTCTTTTGGTTCTATGGTACGACAGTGTTTTCTCTACTTTTACAAACGTGACACTTATGCTGAATTTGTAACAAGGAAGTGACGTAGCTTCAGTTAATATCCGAAGCACTGTATCTTGCTTCCGGATTGAATCCGAGGATTTTTAGGTTAAGAATCTCCGAGCGGAAATCCTTGTGGTTTATTATGCGATACGCTATAGTGATTGGTTCTAAGTATACTATTGCTGCTCCGCTACTGTTACTGCTACTTCAGGAAGGATGAATGTATCTAGCGTGGGTTCCTGGTATCGGACACGATATTGGGTTAGTTTTTGTCCAGTTCTAGTTTCCTCAGTGGTGCAATGAGGCTTCCCGTAGACGTATGTCACGTTCCAGATTATCGACGACGGTGTAGGTGTCACCTTCCGGGTGAGAAAATTCTTCCTGTTTCTATTAGATACCTTGAAGAACTTCAGAAACTTTGTGGATTTATCTTTTGTTTGTATCTTTTCAACTTTCTTTAAATTGCACCGTACCCCGTGAACGTATACTTTCTTAACTTACCGACCATGTTCGTTCCTCATTGTCTAATTAATCGGTTAAATTACCATGAATTGATCATAAAGTGTATTGGGCAGATTCGTGGTGGGAAAGAATTTTTAATCTGGGTAACGATGCGTTGCGTGCAATTAGTTAATTATCGAGTTATCATGGCGATTCCGTTAATTGATCCTCACCTATACGGAATTGGTTAAAGAGAAAACTACCAAAAGCTAATTGATGATCACTTGGTTTCTTATGCGGAAGGCAGAGGTACATGTATCTTCATATAAAGTAATTGAGTATGATCGATAAGGATTGATGATATTCAAAACAAGGTAATCGGTATATCTAATGACAGTTGATTAGTGCATAATTGACAGTGCAGATTTCTCACCGCGACGCAGATGCGTTTGCTTTCTTTCTGTGCGCACGAGTGAACCGAGGAGAAAGAGAGAAGAAAGAAGAGGAAGAAAAAAAAAGATAGAAAATTTCGCAAGGCCTCGAGCACTCGGTTGCAGGATGCGATCGGCCGGATTCGCGAAAGGCTAGACGACTTTTTACCTCGAATCGCCTAGAAATAAATAGTATAACGCGGCTGGATTTAGCCGATATCACATGTGGCGGCACATCGTGAACCTTCGTCAAGGTGTCCTGACTCAATATCCACGTAAGAAATAATATTCCCTAGGAAATAAAAAAAAACTCTAGATTCAAACAATACAGTCAAGCTAGAAACATTATACAGAATTCGTATCTCCACAGGTTGCTACTGAGAATTGCATCTGCAGTCAGTGCAGGAACCAAAAAAATTGCATCGGAGCGGCGGTATAGACAGAGCAAAAAATAAATGGAGGATGAGGAGGCCCAAATGAAACGAGGTACCGGTGTGGTGGACCCCACAATATTGTTACACCGCGGCTCCGGCATGGGACTTTTTTTTCGCGTGGAGGGACCGGGCCCCCCGGTTGGCGGCCCTGTCCTCTCCAGAAGATTTATGCTACAGACATTGAAACTAAGTTACGCCATAAATTAACCTTAAATTCGTGCTTTCGATGCTTTTTTTTTGTAATTAAATGCCGGCGAACAATGAAACATTTGTTTGGGCCTTAGTGACAAGGCCCCTTGTACATTATACGTACATATATCTATACGTTGTCCTGTCTGTTATAGGATGCACCCTCAAAGTGATCAGATTGATTGACGTTTCGAGGATGAAACTGCAAGCAGCACGATAACGAGTGCCCTTCCGGATCAACCATGGATTTCGTTAGGACATGATAATTCAAATGGGTTATATGAAATTAAACAATTAATTGGATTTACGTCAAGTTTAACAACAACAATCGTAGAGGGCTCTAAGGTATAATATGATATTTTATTAATTTAATAAATGTAATAATCAACAGAACATGACCGTCAGGTACAAATATCATACATAAACGTAACACGCTTTAGAGTACATATGTACGTCCATATACGTATAAAATTTGGATCGTCCTAACGTAGGATTAAAAAAAGTAAAAAAAAAAAAAAGATGACGCGACTACAGAGAAATCGGTATGGCTTAAGTCGATACATAATGTAATGATAACATGTCGATATAATAAGTCTAATATATATAATTTATGTTTAGATATACACAACATAACTACATAGCATATTCATATATTTACCTATATAATATAAATTATAGGTATAGGGGTGCGATACAGTTTTGTTAGTACGTACACGATATGTTTGGTAACTGGTATAAGTAAGACTAGGAGTTAATTGATACATCGAATTCTAATCTAGAACTCATTAACGTGACACGATTTAATACGAGGATCACGCGAAACGCGTCTAACAATAAATAATAAATAAATACAATAATAATAAATATTATCGACACGTACGTACGAAGCGTTTATCAATCTCTCGAAAAGTTTATCGTCCACTGCACTTTTGCATAGCAACTTTTGTTTCTCTAATCTAGATAACGACTTTTACCTAGCACCTAATTCATATTAATTGCAAACTATTTTAATCCTAATTAATACACAAGGGCATCGCCTAAGGGATGAACCCATCAAGCGCATCGCATCCCACCCCATACTGGCACAATGAAAAAAAAAAAATATAGAAATAAGTAAAAAAAGGATTCTTGCGAGCTATATGACATTCTTCGACGATTAACGAAGAATTAAGCAAAGGTGTAAGCCTCTCTAAAGCCTGGAATCACGTAATCACTCTACGACGATGATTGTCTTCCTAATGGAGACGCACCCCTTAAGATACGAAGGGGTTAAAGGTCATTGGCCTAATTATTGATCTCTATGGTAGTCACGGAGTTGGTCTCGCGTTCCTCCTCCGTTGCAGGAGGCGGCGGTACAGTGAATGCACTAAAACCACTCTCTACGAGACTCAAGAGACTCTCTTGGCCTAATCGTTGCCCAGGTGGTTTCTCAATTCTCATTTTAGACGTGACTCTCTCGCCGCCAGAGCCCTTGGTGTTCTCGTTTATCAGCTGTTCCAGCTTGGATAGACGCTCGGTAGTGCTTTCCTGGATCTCGTTGTTCTCCACAGGCACCCCGTGCTTATTCACTGATGGCTTGTAGGTTTTAACTTTTGAATGGCCTTGAATTATAAGGTACATTGGTCCCCGAATAGGTTTGGCTGGCTGTTTATAATGTGAAAATATAGGATCGGTTGTTAGACTTGGTACAGTTGTTGTCGGAGGTGGTGGCGAAGGTGCTGGCGTAGGTGATGAGGACGGTAAAGATGACGAAAAGACTATTGACGTTGCCGTAGAAGGCGTTTGGTGTAGTTTACGTGTTTCGTTATTCAAAATCATAGCCAGGGGTGATTCGTTCTTTATATAGTCCGTGACAGCCTCTAGACCTGGGGTGACCGTTTCAGGATTCTGAGGCGGCACCGTCGGCAGGATTGGTGACTGAGACAACATCATCGTCTGTGCAGGGTTGTCCGGTCTGGAGACATGCTTGTTCGTGGAGCTTTGGAAAATTGGTGGGTTCGTAAAAGTGATGGGAACTTGGGAAAACTTCTGATGATGAAGTTCTTCCATGGCTGGTAGCCTCATCATGGGTTTAGCTGGTGGACCATGCATATGCGTCATTGGAGGTTGTGCGTGGGGCATAGATGGTGACCTGTACGGTATATGGGACTCCATAGGGTGCATCATATTCGGCATGCTAGGTAGGTACTGCATTATGCTGTTAGATGGGCGTTGTTGCATCATTTGCTGTGGTAGACCCATGGGAAAGGCTGTATGATGCATTGAGGGTTGGTGCATAGCCATCTGCGGGGGCATAGGTCGACCTAGGTATGGATGATGCTCCTCGTGACGCGGTGGCATCGGAGGACTGGGTAATGAGTTCCTGGAGGGTGCTGGATTCGACGTCAGCAGCGTCTGCTTCATCTCAGAGGTCATCGCGTTCCCAAAATTGTTGGGTGTCGCTGGAGAAGGTTTTGGTCCATCCCCTATAGTCACGTTCAGCTTGTCCATGTAATTGGTAGGCATCACCACAGCTATGGGACTTTTTGTCTTCTGATTCTCCACTTCCAAGGACGGTGTATTAGCCATCACTATATGCATCTTTGACCCGGATGGCTGACCCATAACTATCTCACCAGCGTTCTCCTCTTTCTGTACTGTCGTTACAGACGGCTGGACTACCGATCCTGTAGATGATGGACCCTCCGGCGCAACTTCCTTCTGACCGATCACCACTTCCTCGTTATCATTACTGTCACCATCCACAATGATATTTGCATTCTGACCAACGACGACCTCGTGACTTGACGAAGCTGCTACGTGATGGTCCATGTTATCAAAGTGATCGCGCAGATTGGCTGGAGTCTGCCAGGTGACCTGGCTACTGGGTTCCGAGGACACAGAGGACACTGATGAGGATGATGGTCCACTGCTCGCTAACCAGCCACCGGATAGCGTTTGCGTAGACTGGTAAATCAGATTAGATTTTTCAAAGGAGACCGACGGCGTTGTTTGGTCAAATTTTGGTTTTTGATTTTGCGCTGGTGGCGTGTAGACGCTCTTGATAGTCTCTATTTGAGACACGACGCTCTTCGGCGGCTTCGAGGAAGGTCTTGGCGCGGGAAGAGGCTGAGAGTAGGTATTCTTCGGTGGCAAACTGTAAATCTGGGATTCCAATTGTAAAATCGGTCCTTCCTCCGTTTGCGTGCTGAACTGTTGATCCCCAAACGTGACCTTGCCCTTTTGCGAGAAGTTCGTCTGCTCCAGTGGTTTCCGTATCAACGGCGGCGGTAGCATCATGGTGTAAGGTTTAGGTTTCTGTCCATAAAACGGACTAGGGTAGTAGCTCGCCGGTACATTTTGAATTCTATTTTGATTCCTGTAGTCAATCACTCCGTTCTTGAAGTTCGAAGTTCTCACGAGCTTAGGCGGTTCAGCTCCGGAACTTCCGGTAAAATCGGTCCTATGTAATACCGGCTCGGTCCGATACTGATCCTGATTCCTTGTGAACTTCGGACCGTCGACGAACTTGAGAAATTGTTCGGGTATCTTGGGACTGGTTTTCTTAGCCGTAACACCGAGCACGAGAATATCGCGCTTCGCCGAAGGTTCGGTCGTGTGCGAATCAAGCCAATATTGCACCCTGTCCAATACGGGCGGAACGTAATCGAATGTGGGATCATTTTTCAAAGGATCCCCACGTCCCAGAGGCGTCCACTCGTCGTAGTCCATTCTCGGCGAGAATATCCTGGCTCTGCTTTCCTGATTGTATCCTGAAAAATACAAGAAGAAGGACAAAGGTCCAATAGATTCTTATAAGCCAAATACAAAAATACCCACAATCCAACACTATCGATCGAAACTAACCGCACCCCACGTATAAATACACGACAGGAACAATTTAATAAAAATTTCAAAGTATCCCGAAATAATCATTATTAATTGCACATGAAACCACAATAAATCCAAGATGGCTGCATACAAGAACCTATTAAAAAATTAATTCCCTCAGGCAAGACCGAAAGTTCAAGACAATTTAGAATGCCCTTGAATTTCTCAGCGTCAATTCAATAATTCACGTTCTCCCGGCAACAAGGTCCTGCAGTATTCCACAGACGTGACTCCCGGCCAAGCCGCATAGATGCATAATGCGACGATGGGTCGTCGGACCAGACTCTCCGAGCATTGGCGCAGCCGTAAAAAAAGAAGAAAAAAAAAAACAACCAACCGACAACAACAAATCCAATGCATTCTCACCGCGTTCTCTCCCAGCTTTCATAGAATCTACATTCCCCATAAATATGTTAAACAGACATATCGATAGTTCCTCACGTACGATCTCACCGTACAAATGCCAGCAATGCTCGCACGCGTATACGCGATGGCATAAGAAAGAAAACCAATAGTTTCATTTCAATCGAACATAACCTAAAGACCCTATCAGTTAACCGGGCAGTGTGTCGAGCTTTCCCGGGGTATACGAATACCCCGTAGCATCACAATAGTATACAGGAGGCGCCAGTACTCGAGTCAAGTCGCATAAATACACATGTCATGCATACGACCACCGTGCGTCGCGCATACCAGGAACCAAGAGTGGCTTGGCTGCTCTCTCTTTACATAATGCATGCACCTACGGGAACGGCGCATGCGCACTTACTCGGTCACGATATATATATATATATCCGGCTAGGAAATGCGCCCAGGCTATTTTTAGTGAACTGCTCTATTCATCGTCGCTTAAGCAAAGACTCATTAGGGTTAAGAGCTTCCACTCGGCACTCGGCTACAGCGCGAGCCCCGACTGCAGTGTACGACTGTAGTTTCGTGAAAACTAACGTGAAAACTTGCCTCCGCTAGCGCCACCACGAAACTTTACGGATTTTACTGGTATTACTTGTACACTCTGTCAAGTCAATATCTCGATGTATGGTGGGCTGGATATACGAAATATCAGACCCTGGCGTTAACTGGACCTAGCCTATACGTGATAGACAGTGAAAGAAGAAGCGACGGGAAAGTAGGATAATTGTAAATATATAGTCGGCATTAGAAATTCGTAGACAGAAATAAGTCTTGGTCTATCTGTATGCGACAAAGTCGGATACGTGTTCCGAGTCTATATGCAGTGTCATTAGGATTCGATAATGCATCTGTACCTCGTTTCTATCATTGATTGTACGTGTATATACATATATATATATATATATATATATATATATAACCTTTCACGCTCTATTCCTAATAGCAACGTGATAAGTGAATAGTATGATAATCAATATACTCGAGGCGTGAATCACACGTTTCCATAGGTCTCGGAGCAAGTCAGACAATTAAAGGCCTCAGCGAGCAATCAGCCGACACCATTCAAGCGGTAAACACTAGCTGACGTTTCTTAATGAAGCGAATCGAGGGAAAAAGGTCTGAATGGCTGGTTCTAACTGCTCAATGGCTGGACCTCACGTGTAAGAGGTCAAGTACTTACCCAGTGCCGGTAAGGATCCAGCCTTATTTACATTAATTAAAAGCCCAGAATGGGCTACGTGTATCTTCGAACCTGCGATCACGAATGAGAGAGAAAGAGAGAGAGAACCTGTAGCGACTCTTGAATTTTCCTATGGGAATCTCTTATGGGTATCTCAACCATTGAACAAACTAACTAGTTACTCGTGACTGTCTATAGTAATGGGCAATCGTAAACCTATTTAAGTTTTCTCGCACGGGAAACGATGGGTTAGAGCCTCTCAGACGATTCTGCCATCTTGCGGTGGAAATAAGAAAATGGGTTTAAGGTAGTTAAATTTTAGTGTGTTTCTGCCTGTATATACATATATATACATATAGAAACGATTACGCTAAAGCCTTCACGAAGTACCTACGAAGATGGGAATCGCTCCAGTCTGCTCTGGGACCTATTACCACGAAAATCTTTTCTCCTGATTGCGTCATACGTCCGGAAAACGACCGTTAGAGACCGTCTGGCACCTTTTACCTTCTTCCTACGTCACCCATCTCTATCCTACAGGCATATACTCATATGCGCCACTGGCGTACGTTGAGAAACATACATGTATCGAACGATCGGGAGTGCTCTTAGCACTGAACAGTGTGTTGACCTACTGACCTGCGACTGACGCATACGTCGAAACGGCTTTAGCGTATCTTGATACGCGGGCTACACGAGTTTTATACGCGTGAATTAAAGGGCGGGAAATACGAGAGATTTTGAAAATGTTATTACCGCAAAGTGACTTTTGCAAGGTACGCGAGAGCTCGTGTATACTCGTTTGGCTTGACGAGCGTAATTAATTGGATTTGAGAGAAAAAAAGGTGATGATTACCAGTGCTGGTAGGAGGATCATCAAACCTCGAGATTTCCGAATTCACATGAAGGCCGCCCAGAGCGTTGCGAATAATTGGCCGCGCGCAAGATCTCTCTGCGGTTACGGGAGCTTGGAAAAAAAAAGGTAGAGAGATTCTGGACCACCCAGTGTGTAGACCGAGGATAATACGTATACGTCAGAACATACAGTGTCTTTAAAAAAATTATTCTTCTATGCGGTATCGCGTATCTTGGGTACCTGAGAAAATTACGTACGAGTCATATATACACGGAATCTCGAAGCGTGCACTATTACGCTTTCGAATCCACCTGCTGTTACTTTTGACTAAACTGTCAGGTCACACGTTGAGTCGCGCGTGAAAACTTAACCTCGAAATGCCAGTTGGATATTCCTCAACTTTTTTTTGTATCCTTCTTCCAGCTCAACATACAGTAGTACGCGGGTCTGAGAATTCGGACGAATTGACTTGACGAATTACCTCTAATGACACGACACAGCCGCCACGTAAATCTTGAAAGACTTGAAATCAAGTGTCGTGTGTATAAATATGCTTCTACTTTGAAGCGAAGAAAAAAAAAGGGGTAAACAGTATAGAGGCTAAATTTCAAAACTTCTCTGTCGTTGCGAGAGTGTCGAATTGAGTTGCGTCATCACTCGAGATTTCCAAAGTGCACGAAACCGGTCAACGATAGCATTTAGCGAACTGATCCGATCGGAGATTTCGATTCGGCGTTAGAGATCGACTACTGGATTAGATGGAAACGTGAATCAGTGTCATAGTAAAAGGTTTACGGTTAAAAAAAAAAACCCGTATGACCGAAGCGACGTTATAGGCGCGAGATAAGCAACTTGAAAAATTTGTAGTATCGAATAACACGTGCGAGTTCAATAGTCGGATCTCTTTTTCTTCATCCTTTTCCTAGGCAAAGGTCGGACGGTTTCGGTGCGTTTGAAAATGGTAGAACCTAAAGAAATTCCTGGAATTCAGGGTGTGAATATTCCAGTGGCCGAGGTTGGCAAAAATTGTCGATATAAATTTCGAATAATAATAACATTAATGGCGAACCCCTCATTATTCACTTCCATGGACTTACCAGTCTTGTTCTCGAAGGACGAACCAACATTCTCACAATTGGAGTAGCAGACGACACAGGTCAGGATGATCCACGTGGACAGGAAACTTCGTATTGGCGGCATTTTCTGTAAAAAAAAAAAAATCAATAAATCCGGCGACAAACGAAAATAACCTAGAATCCCATTAATCGTTATCACTCCCAGACTCCGAAATCCAGTATCTATCCAACAAATCTGCACACCCCCACTCGCACCAGATGACGACCGTGCGAGCCCAGAGCAATAGCAATTATAAAGTTCTCCGCGATAATCGACTTGGAGTAAAAATTTTTTTCCCCCATTAACCCAAAAAAAAAAAGTAACAATTATTAACGATCCCGGCAAATCCTCGTTGTCGGTATTACTTAACAGTCACGAAACGACCAACAATAATTAACCATTAAGTATGACAAAGTTAGAGTCTCGCTATGAAGAATTCGTCGCTACCTACATTAAGGTTCGTCCACAGTAAAAATATCAGCATCGTCATCAGCACCCGACGCGTATCCCTATTAACAAAGAGGAAATTCAAGATAACTGGAACTCCAGATGGCTACCGTATAGCAAAGAAGAAGCCGGGTAGTCGGCAGAAAATTCCAGAAAGATCGTGACCGGTAGGTCACCAGTGACCCAGAGCGAGTAGTAGCACCACGTCCTGAAATTGCGTTCCCACGATCGGGCCCTGGACGTCATATACCTTGCAATACCCACCAGTTACAGTGAGACCCAAGGAGACTCGACTCATTGTATCTTCCCGTCATCCTCGGTAGTCGTATTAAACCGAAACCATTGATACGGAACTGTCCTCGATGCCCGAGGGTTTCAACGGACAGGATACATAAATTAAAAGTGAAAAAAAAAATGAGTCTCACCTATCAAGTACCCAGATCGCACTCTACTCTCCGTTATTTAATGTACCACCATTACCTACGGGTCTATAATTCTTTAGCAATTAGAAAGATTCCTCCTCCTAATCTATTAACGAAGAGTATCCTGCTGATTCACAGTCGACGTACGACACTCGAATCATGTCACGAAGTCCTCGCTCGTCCTCGGTAGTCAGGTACAGTAGATACTTTCACGTTAAATCAAAAGAGACGTCTCGATGTGTCTCTGGTCGTTCGAGCCCGGTATCGGTCGTCTTATTAATCCGCGCCATATAAAGAAGGTATCAAAGTGCCGATACGTCTTATTTGGGTGCGAAAAGGACCTTGCCCGTACGGCTATGTAAATGACGATCGTGAACGGGCGATGCGCGACAGTATAGACGGCGGAGTGACGAGAAAGTTTCTGAATTAGAAGTCAAACGGCGAATTGGTGATTGGGTCAGTGTCGCTCCCGTGGAGATTATACATTTGCTAATACGATTTATGATTCAGCGGGATGAAAGGATCGGCCGTTCACCCAGTGAGCAGCACGTGTTAATAGACAGTTAACAGGTGCCGCTCCTTTAAGCTTGATTCACATGAAAGCTATGAGAGTCTTCTCCTCGAGAGAGAGAGAGGGGGAAGAGGGGGCACGCGATGAATTTCGCTAGCATAACCTAACCTGACCTCTTTGTTATCCCCCTATATCTTAAGGTATACGGGGCGTGGGCTGTCCTACGGGCTGGTTCACACGAAGTTTATCCGCGCGACACGTGTAAGCGACGGGCGTCGATCGTGACGATGAAGACGCCGCGCGACGGTCATACTTTCACCGTACAGTCTCGTGCCTCATCGAGTCATGGGTCATCATCCAGCATCCACGACCCTGGACTTCCTTCTGCTGTCTCATAAGACAATGCTGATTTCTATGTATATCGTATTCTCCGACCTTTGCCGCACCGTCGCTTCGTGCGAACTTTACTAATGTCTTTCGGGTATCTTACCGATCCAGCAAGAGAAAAAAGGGCTGGTATCGAGAAGAGTGAGTGCCCAGCGAAGGTGGGGAACGTGTAGGACCTCGGTGTAACGAGACACGTGGTAACGGTAGACAACGCTCCGGGCGACGATTTGCTCCAGAGTTCCCATCGGACGATCGAACGAGCCGATCTCGCGGCAGCGCTGGGTCGCAGGTCCTTTGTGCGGAGCCGCCTCGAAAAAGCAGCGGTCGACCTTGACGAAGAATCGGAATCCGCGAATACGACGATTTCCCTTATAGAAATAGCACGGGTTGTCACGTGACTTACTTCGGGGTCCAAGTCGAAAGTAACGGGTGTCTCGCGCGGACGCGAAGGATTATTAATAGCGCACCGTGGGCAATTACGATTTTTCACAAGAACGAAAGTCATCCTGGAGATCGTAGATCATTCGAGTCTTCTTGGCGATATTAACGTTGATCGCGATCCACTATGCAAGTCCGATCGTTGAGCGCCCACGTAACTCATCCGTTTTTCGTCACCGGAACGAATCGATCCTCTCCGCTATCATCTTTATCGGATGGATCGGAATTGACAGGGTCGCGACTCTTTGAAACCCTGCAATTTTGAGCCAATCACTTTTCCCGACTGTCCTTAGGGCTGAAACGCACGTGTCATGCGACTGTTCAGGTATTCCAGGTACAGCGTAACGATCCTCAAACGGTCACCCATACTAATTTCACGTGTGAGCTGATAATTATCGAGTCCTTGACTCTCTCGCAGGTGTGGCAGTTCATCTCGCCACGTTCAGAATCCCTTCCTGTGGCTACTCAGAACTCGTTTATTTTTGGTACACGTAATAAAGGTCTCCGGGTCACCGGGTACAATTATCGGACATCCTCCTACTCTGGGATTAGCCTGATACATGGGCATACCCATTGCGAGCTAATCCAACCTAACCCAACCCGTGTATGTTAATCAGCTAGGAATAGGATAGCACAGGAAAGTGCGGGTGAATTTGAAAATTTTAATTATGTACAAAGTTTTCTCAATTAAGGACGCCCGACTTTTGCGGTACTTATACCAGACGCAGAGGTAATTATGCAGCGTCGAGGTGCCAGCGTCGTTGGGAATTCGCATAGTCGCTCTGGGATTAAGGCGACTTCGCACCGTAGGGAGTATCTGCATAATCTGTAGGAACCCGTGGGAATAACCGTAGAGACATTGCCAGGTGGTGTAAGTTAAAAGAAATTTTTTCAACCTCACCGAAAGGCACCGCGACGATTCCGGCCCTGGGAGTGTTACGGGACCGCGAGACAGCGTGGCTCCGGAATTTCACTTTATACGGCGTCGTGCGTTCATAATGGAGAACGGTAGGGAGCTACCGAAAGCCTCGGAAACTCTCGTACTCCGTGTATATATAATCGATCCATGAGAAATTTTCTAGTGACTTCTAGGGATATTACGGGTGATTATCTGGAAAGATATTGATTGTAATTTTCATCGTATACATGGATTGAGCCGATATCACGGTGAATTGATTAGGTAAGGATTACTTGCGGGATTACGCGTTTCTCGTACGTCCTCGCATGCAAGAAGAAGGCCAAGTCTCTGCGGGCCACGACCCCAAAAACTCAGACGGCCTATATTAGCTAAAAACGTTATTATATATGCAAGCGATTGGCCCTTCCGCCTTTGAGCGCCATTGGAATTTTCATGAGAGCGTGTTATACGGCAGGATGGTCATAAACCAGTCAGACTTCCTTATAAAAAAAAAAAGAAGCAAGAACCAATAATAAATCAGGTTATCTCTGTTTTAGAAACACGTGACATCGATATACGTTAATCGTAATAAAAAAGAAGCCGGCTGAGCCAGAGAAATAATTTATTGTCGTCATCGCTTAACCCTGTTACGAGCCGTAAAAACGAATCGAGATCAATAGTAAATATAAATTTTTTAAAAATTTTTGTTAAAACTCAACGATCTAGATCTAAATACTATTTTCGATCGACGGATCAACGTGGAAAGTCAGCGACTACAAGCCGTCGTCTAAAAGCCGAAATAATCGAATGTAAGATCTCCGCACGCCGACAGTCCAATTAATTAAATTAAATTCAATCTCGATTAATCTCACTGATAAAGCCAATAGCGAGGAATCCCATAGAGTAATAAGCTAGGACAAGTGAGCGTTTCTTGTAACGTATACCGATCGCTTTAGAAGACATAAGAAACCGTTATGGATCTCCGTCGGTAAAACAGATTCACCGAAAATTATTATTTTCGATTTTGCTACACAATACAACGACCTTTAACCTCGCGGTCTCAACAGATCGATAATTTCCTCGTTTAAACCATCCTCCTGATCGCTATCAAACCTGTGCCCAGTTCTAATGAAGCGACGCTAGGCGTCGTATCATTGAGTTAGGCGCCACCGAACTTTCTCAATATTTGCCCGTCGCCATTAATTACCAATTAACCCGAATCATGGGAGCACGAACAGCCACGAAGATTAACCTGCAAAGTATTAATATTTATAGAGCTGTCGGATCGATCGAAATTTTTCAAAAAGAAACTAAGCCTTGGTGCCACTTAGAGGTCCAGTGCTCCAAGTATCTATGAGAATGCGAGATTCGAGATTATTTTTGAAAAAAAAAAATATATCGACTTTTCCTTGTTACTTTTTTTTTTAAATCAAATGTAAACTCGTCGGTAATCGGACCACCGTGGAAGAGTACTGCTGATTGCGAGAAATCGCGGCGTCGCGTTAAATCAAGAGACCCAACGCTGGCGATAGTCGTATGCAACGCCGATTGTGAACGAGTCCAACGCATTAAGCATCGTCCGGTAGATTTATGGATGCCGCACGCCGTAAAGGGACTCTGTGCATTTCCTGGTTTAAAGGGAGATATATGAACCTTATGAGACACCGTGAATAAATACACACGATCCTTTAGGCGGATATTCAGCCTCATCGCGAATCCTCCGCACCTTTCATGCACGACATAACTTTTAAGTGTCCGAACGACCCAGCGATGGTTTATCCCTCGTATACATGTTGTGACGATGTGATTCCGCATACGGAACGTGGTACAAAATTATCTATGGCTATAAAAATACAAATGTATAATAAATCACATGCGACGTACCTATACTGTGTGTGTACAGCCATCTTATTTGAACGTATAGTCCTGTTCGGTTATTGGGTGGGAAACGTCTGTTGGATATTTCGCGCGAATAATGCCGGGACAGGGAGATAAAAAAATAAATAAAAGAAGTGAAGAATTAAAACAAAAAAAATAAAGAAGGGACACGTACATAGAAGGTACCCGGAGGAAATAAAAAGAGTAGAGGGTCGATGTGCGCCGACCCAGTTTGAACAGTTTCTATACGTTATCCGTCGGCAGTACAGTCGTTCGGTCCTATTCGCACGTGAGCGACGCTTTCTTTAGATGCTCGACGAAAAGATATTTTCATCCCCTAATACGCACTTAGCCTTATTGCATGTAAAATACTGTAGCCATACAATTTTTAGTAATTCTAAAACATCCCTATCTTCCTGGTTATTTCGTATGCGCCAATGTACAGTGTGTCTCACGAGTCACGTGCATGATTAAATACACTGATTAATTTTGATTCCTAATCAAATGCTTTTACTAATTCATGATACATATACCAGGGTGATAAGTAATTAATTTCGTTCCCGCAGGAATTATGCACGCTCCCTTAAGGGTAGCGAAACTACGTGAAAGGTTAAGCCTATATCGCATTAAATTGCACTCGATGATTACCGCCAATCAAACGGCTGCCACGTGCCTCGAACGTTAAACTAAACCGTGAATTCGTGGCAGTGCAATTACCAACGTATAAAAAATTAATTTCGACAAAAGCTTTTGTTATTCTGTAAGTGAAAGTTATACAATTTGTCTTGTAAACAGAGTCAATCTACAGATGCATAAACCTAGTACCCTACAAGACCGGCATAGAATTCCAGGAAACTGTCGCATTCCTGAAAACCGGCCCTTCGCTTAGACAATCTTCTATGTAGTCATAGAGAAATATACGAAATATCAAGATAATATTGAAGATCGATGAACACGTATTTTCTTCAGAATCAAACAAATTTATTTCATAAATACATATAGTGATCGATTCTTCTCTAGATAGTAGCGAATCAATGTTCGTTCGTAGTTTCACCATAAATAGCAAAGCCCAGATTATTGAATGCGTCGGCCTAGCCACCGAACAATATTCACCAAGTCAAAATTACAATAGATACGTCGTAATGAAACAAGATTAATTTAACGACCTAACTACCTCTAATAATAGACACGAAAACCAGTCTGAAATCTAATGAGACAAGAATAAGTAGACAACTTTCCATTGACTTCGGAATAAGAATCCAGTGCTAGTAACATTGCAAACACAAGTTCCGAATAAAAATGAAAAAAAATCCGTGACTTAAAGCACTAACCCATAAGATAAAAAATATCAACATAACCTCAAAACTGAAAATAATACGTATTCCACGAGTCGGAATCTACGACACTTACCCTTTGACCCTTGAACCTGCGTAAGCTCCAATAAGTTTCTCTCCTCTTCGGGTTTTAACCCCCAAATTGAATAATTGACAACACACGAATCAAACGTCCAGCAATTTCTCGTTCACAGACATTTCGACGATCCGACGTCGATGCTCAACCAAAGTATATTCTTACGAAAATGTTACGTTCGTTGCAATATTTTCTTCTTCTCTCGATTATAAAACTGACTGAAAGACTCTGTTCCTTGATTATCTCAGGCAACAGTCGATATCAGCTACTGATCTTTAATCGTTCGCAAAATGTGCGTATTCCTCAAAGCGCGGTGGAGGACTGAGCGACTACCGGCTGGCTGGCTGGCGGGCGGGCTTCAACCTGCAGAGAACCAATGGCGACTTTCCTACGCCCCACGTGCTATCGCGAACTTATCCTTCCACCTTCTACCTTTCTATGTTTTTTTAACTTCCTGCCACTTTCTTACTAGAGAAAATACAGAGTCTAGCTTGTTGGCTTTGCACGTACCATTCTTTGAAATTTATTATGGCATCCGCATATGCATATACATTCCTATGGAACATACTGAGACAATATAACCTATAAGGATACGACAGAAGTCAAACAAAAGACTGACGGACTTCTGTCCGATCGTAACGAGTGAATCTAATTTGACGCGAGTGTGTTTAAGTGAATTTAAAATCCACCAACATTCAACATGGCGATCGGTATTATTTAATGACGATTAATGACACTGTGTGTGCTTTAGGCCGTGATCTGTAACGATCATTAAAATGATCTTGTATCGTGAATGGTTCGCATTTCCTCTGGTGAAATTATAAGATAATGAGTGTCGGATATGACACATGGACAAATAGTCTATCGTAGACATACGTTAACACGACAGAGCATGTCTAATGGACAAGCAGTGTTTTTATCACAGGCTAATAATTTTTCGAGCCTGGATAATGTATTGCCGTATGAGAATCTGCGATTTAACCTGGCACAAGGTTACCATGGTATTTTCTACAGAGGTGGGATTCATCGATCGAACTCGATAAAAACCGTGTAATTGCGGTAAGTGGATAATCAATTAAATTAACGCCTGTACTGTAAGGTCCTTTAATTTCCACACCGTACAAAACGGTATTTTGACATTTTATATATCCAGTTCTTGCGCTTACCTTATATCAGGATGTATATAATTTATATTTATGAAACATATTAAGGATTCCTACATGAACCACACATGCGTATACTCCATACGAAATTTCGTGTATGGATCGGTTCGAGATACTGGAAACGGATGGTGAACCGATCAATTCGACAACTCTGATTTATTATCCACCCCGTTGTCCTCGAATTGGCCACGTTACCTATACTCATACGAAAAGGTTATGTGAGGTCGTACGAGTATAAACTTTTAGGCCATATGTGAAGCTCGCATCTTGGAACTACGTGATCGAGGACTCACTTTCAAGTCAGAGACTCTCGCAATAACAGTTCGTTACTTTCCTAACGACAAATGTCAAGATATGCGTGACATGTGAGTTTCATTAACATAAGACTCGCTATGCGATTCAATGAGAATCGGTAACATGTGTGTACTATATAACTATGGTTAAATCTATGGTTATATGCACTTTCATATTTCTATAAAAACAGTAAAGTAAGACCTGAGTGATTATCGAGTTCCGGAATTTTTCGAGCGTCTGGTTCGATTCTCGAAATGACTCGGTCAATTCGCTTGGCTGATGCGCAGCAACGTTCACCCCGAGCGACCGGAAGTGATTGTCCGATTAAAATGCGGAGTTACGACCATGTGTCACCGAGCCGGTTTTTACTTTCTACAACGTTTGACTGCCTATGGTAATCGTAACGAGCAAGGTCGGTCCAATTTTGTACGCCCGGAAAGTTTCACTGGTCGACGTGAACTCGATCGATATTTTCTGCTTCCACAGAAGGACGTACACGATGTTCGATTATCGATCTGACGACCTGTATTATAGAAAATTTGTCCATTTACAATAATCGGTTCACCATAGACTTGCCGACCAGAGAAACCAACTCGATACTCGATAGGTGGACGAATCGGTTCAATCGTTTTGAAAGAGAAGACGTGAGCGCGTATTGCGGTGTCAAACCGGTTTTCGATTTTACGGGTAACGAGACGACGCGTCGCTAATATAATAAAAGCGCCGACTCGACTAGTCATTCAGAAATCTTAAATATTTCCTGACATTCCTCTTACCGATTCTTGCGAAGTAGGTCAGACCGGAAGTTCATAAAATTAAGGCATCCAATTATTTACATCTAATACCGGATCACACCGAGTACGTAGAATCTTAAAAATGGACGCCATATCATTTTCATATTTTCAAAATCAGTGGGTAAACTCCAATCATCGAATAATAGATTTTTCGAGTAGACTGCTGTAAGGATAATTCCATATGAAGAAAAAAAAAATTACTAAATCGCAATAATTTATATACCCAACCTAACCTGATGAAAAATTGTTGTACTCTTATTAGAACGATCGTTCAAATCGTTATTACTAACCAGCCGCACTTAAACAAAGAGTTCTGTTATCCTTCTTTTTTATTCATTTCCCACAGCACTCAAATCAAATTACATACTATGAATTGTCGGAGGGCGTACAGAGTGGTCTTTTTTTTTTGGTTGTTCCGAGAAACGCGTGTCATCATCCACCACCTATTCTACTACCATCATCAACGTCTCAAGCAATATATACATATATATTGATACATATATATATATTCAACGGCAAGTAACAGATAGAAGCAGGATTTTATTGTCGGTCATTAAGTAATGACTTCAAAATGCCAGCCACGCCTCCATTAGATTTCGCAATTGCCCACACTTTCTCCGTTCATTTGTTTTCGGGAAACGTGCAGCCATCGACCCACTTCCGGTAAGCAGCTAACTTCAGACCTAGCCCGGTAGCATTGCAAGGAACAGCAGCGAGTGAGAACTAAGAAAAAAAAAATTAAAAATCAATAAAATAACATGTCAGGGCAAACAATTGGCAGACAAGTTATATCGGTATGGTGCTTGGGATAGGCGTTAGAAATAATAGATAGATACTACAGATATCAATACCGATCCATCCTGGTAGCGACAATGGATGTGGATGGCAGCCTTCATAAAGGAGAGCGTCGAGCAAACGACCCGTTCAAAAGGCGGCACGAGAGATCCGCATTAATTTCATAATTCGGTCTTGACGATCGATATGGCACTTCTCTGTGTACAGGAGTACTGTATTGCACGAGCACTTTGGCCCAGTACACGAGAACCCAAAGTCAAGACCACTTGTATTGGGCAGCTACTTGATTTCGGCGATAACGAGAGAACTACGTCTGGGGTGTCCCAGTTCAATTCTTCTTCTGGTTCCGCTTCGAATACCGAGGACTTATGGCTCGATTAATTAACTTTTCTACTTATTAGCTTCGTTCAATGATCCCAAGAGAAATTGAAAAATTTGAGGTTATGTCATTCCGAATTTTATACTAAAATCCATATTTGCATACGAGGCGCCATCTGCAACGTGTAAATTGCAATATCACTATTTTACAAATTTGAGAAAAAAATTGTTCATTGAAAATTTATATACTTTATCTAAGCTTTATACTTATCTTCAATTGTTTTTCTAGGTCACCTTTGTATCTCATGAAGGCCACTGCAATTGATATTGATGATTCCAACTTGGTGGCATTAGTGGATTTTGGGTAATTTTATACATTTAAAAATTTGGTAGGTACAGATTTTTTTAAATAAATTTTTATAGAAATATTGAAGTCATCTCTTAATGTAATACATAACTTTACAGCTTGATACACATTTACCATCCGATTTTCTGGTGATAACATCGGCGCTGCATTGTTTCTGTAGAGGGAGCAGATAACCATAATTTGCTCTAAACAATTGTTGAAAGTAACTAGTTGTCACTGAAAGGATGTTTCTCAGGTATGAGGAAACACAAGAGGCTAATTTTTATACGTCGCATATTATAATTGTATATGGTAGACACTAACGTTAGGACAAAGTGGTATAATTTTATTTTATTAGGACGCACAACGCTTGGAGAAATTATGTATAAGTGCTTTATTCAAATTAAATTCTTTCAATAGCAAGTACACATACGCAGACTTTCACATGAAATGTACGTGCGTCGTACTGATATTGACAGTGATTGATAATTTAATAATAATTATTGTTAAAGATTCTATACAGTATTCGCTTTGATAGACTGTTGAAAATATTTACTTGTGGATTTTTCTTGTTAATATACTATATCTCTCTATATGTAATTTCATAAGGACACCACGAATAAGATCCTTTATTGTATTTATTTAATATTGTTTTCTGTCCGTATTATCATCCGTGCAGGCCTGAGAATCTGTGCGGATATGATTTTACGCATAGCAGTGGATAGTAAGGGTAAGTTTTCATATCGACGACTGAATGGAAAATATAGCGTATTGAAATGACATAAATCGGAATGGATATTATAAAGTTTATGAATCTTCTCATCGTCGATGAGCACTTTAGGATAAACCGAGGAACTTTTCTCATCGCCCACTTATCATTTAAAATTGAATCTACCCGTCCCGTTGTTTGCGGTTGGGAATAAGTACGTTTGATAGTCATAAAACTTATATTAAAATCATTTTTTTAAATGTAGAGTATCACATTAACTGAAAATTATTGAGGTATAATGGAACGGAATTTCCTCACCATCAATGAAATTTAAAATAACTTAAAGTAATAGCGTCTTCTTTTCTAATTAATTTATACCTGTCGAGCATACTTTTTAACTGTTTGACTTAGGCTCGGCGTAGAATTCCTACTACTCTAATACTTGATACATTATGTAATATAACATATACATGACACTGTAATGCAATTATTATGCGAGTTAACGTTTTAGGTACAAAGCTTTGTGTATGGACGTATGTTAGAAATCGTACTTAAATACAATGTAAATTGTCAATGTAAGTAAGGATAATTAAAATACTTGAACTGAGAGATTCTATAGTAAAAAGGTACGTTTTTAAGTACAATATTGCATTGATGCGTGAATGAATAAAAATAATTTCAGGTGCCAGAGAAGTATCTTGCGATCGCCATCTGTCGGGAATGTCATGAACTGATTCGCTACTTGATCAGGGTCGCGAAAGTAGAAATGACCAAGGCAATATGCAGACTTGTACGTTTTTTGACAGCTCTACAGGTAAAATCACTTCGGTATGATAAAATCTTTGTAAACTTTTAAATATCACACATAAACCAAGTAAATATACTTTCATAGAAGTTAGAAGAAACCTAACAAAGATCCTGCTCTTTATCATTCGCTATTCAGATTTGATTAAGAATGATATCAGTTTTATAAGAGACACGATTGGAATTCAAACAGAGACGATTTGATTTCCAACTCAATAAAGTTTATACCAGCCACCAGAAGTTGCCCATTGAATTTTTCAATTCATCTTTTTCATTAGACAAGATTGAAATCAAATCGTCCTGTGTAAAACACTGTACTTGTTCATGTCATACGGCATTTTTTATAAGGTGGAAGCTTCTCGGTCCGGTATATTCAGCAGATCAGTTTTGTGCCAGTAGTATTTAGGCGGTCCTGAAGTAAAGCAATACTTTTTATGCAGTGGCTCTTTGCTCTCTACGTAATACATGAGGTAGAAGTTGCACATTTCGTCATTGTTAGTGGACCCAACGTAAGTCCAGGTTTCACGATCATTATGCATTGTGCAACGAGCTGCTACTACATCGCCCAAAGTAGCTGTTACGTTTATGTGAATCGGATAGAACATTTGTGGCTTCATAGGATCTCTCTTGCCTAGTTCTATCCACTCCGAGTTCTGCTTTACTAAATACCCAGACACAACTCTTCCCAACGTATGAGTATGTACTCTGTATGCAAATGGATATATGGTTTTCTTCTCTTCGATCGCACATGACGTTTCCATGTACTCTGTACTCTTCGGAGGAATGTTTCCACCTGTTCCAAGCAAGAGTACTCCAGCTAATTTATTTAATGGACGCAAGGTGTAATGCAGGAATACTCCAGAATCATCAGTACTGCCATCCTTGAAGTGATCTATGTGGGCGTAATGTACCTGTAGCACCAGGTACTGTATCGAAGAATCTCCTCCCACTTTAAAACCTACGCCGTCGGGTAGAACTAGCTTAGGTGCATCTCTTGCCCATGCATAAATAATCTGAAAAGTCAATAACTGATGAGATATTCGAGTCCAATACTTTGTCATTGCAGTTCAATAGTTATTATGTTATATACCTCTGATCCTTCACTGCACGGACTAGCTGTGTCTTCAGTGTCTGTTGTCATATCATTTGCCATTTCCCCACAGTTCCAAACAGGTTTGGAACTGCCTGGTTTAGAACAACCATACAATAACATGTGATGTGCTGTTGCCATTGTAGCATTGGGTTCAAATGCAACAATATAATAATTTTTTGAAGAATCCACTTTGATTGGAGTACATAAATATATTTCCGGCTGTAAAACAAATTTGTTTAAATTAATAAATTATATTTTTACATACATTAAACAATTAAAATATTCAACATTAATTTAGTATATATCACAAAAAAGAGCAAGAATACATTTAAGTTAAATCTTATCAAAAATTTCGTGGGTCTCTCATTATAGCGTGAGATACTATAAAAAGAAGATAACGCAATATTTCAGGAAATCATAGACGATAAAATGTATGACGTAACAGACGTGAATGATCAAGCAAGAAGATTACAAGTAATAGGCCTATAAATATTATTCTTTAAATATATATTATATTATAAAATATAACTCTTCTTCTCTCCATATGGTTCGTATAAAAATTGAAAAAATGGCATAAACTTTTAATACGTAAAAACTCACCGTATTCGGTCTAACATTCGGCATCAGCAAAGAATACTTCTCGATACTGTAACACTCCGAATATCTTAATATTACAGCAAAAATTAGATACACTATAAACATGTGGTGCTCTGTCATGTTTTATATTTTCGCTGCAAACTCGGTATCAATGCACTGATAAGGAATCCACCTGTCAGACACCACAGGTCGATATTAAGAAGCCAGGAGAAAAATACTGACGTAGATAGGAAACGAAAAATGTAAATATTAAAGGTCGATAAATCCGACTACTACATTTTCGACGGGTTACACTTATTCCAGACAGAAACCACAAGAAAAATAAATTTGTATTTATTTTAATTCTGAAAGTTAAGGACTAACATCTAAATCTAGAATGAATATCAATTTATTTGTTGAACTTGACATTTTCAGTAAATTCTTCATTTACGTGTAACTATTAATTGTCGATTACACTCTACGATAAACTTATGGACGGTTGTATGATTTCAGATGTTAATTATTTAGTTCCTTATTAAAACGACGTTATCTTTTGTTAATATAAATATCTCTTATTTGATCCGTAAGCCATTCGATAGCTGGTTGCAATCCTTCGCCAGTTACTGCATTTGTCGCACGAATATGCCAAGGTTTATTTTGTATACGATCGAGTCCAAGTCCTGATGCGAGTTTAACTGTTGTAAGAGAATCTGGCAAATCCATTTTGTTAGCCAGGAAAAGTATAGGTATCTTTCGACCTGCAAGATATCAGAATTATCATAGAAGTTCAAATCACTTTTTACCATTTTGTACCGGCAACGTCGGGATGTTGAAGTAGCATATCCAATTCCTCTTTGGCGACAACTAATCTTAATTTGTCGCTACTATCGATTATGAAGATAATTCCTTGGCAATCTTTATAATAATGTTCCCAGAGTGATCTATAGCGATCATGACCAGACATGTCAAATGCCGTAAAACCGACATTTTTGACTGAAAAATATAAATTTTATGTGATCGTTAAGTAGTTCCTGAAAAATACTAAAGAGGGTTGTGTGACCATATGCAATTGAGAACCACGGCATACCTACTATAGGTATGTATGAGGAGTAATGCTTGTCGGTCCGGGATAATTCAAAATAGTGTCACATAATATTTGATACGTTGACTGAGACGATAAGTATTAATATTAATAAATAACACAAATACGTCAGTGAGAAGTAATATTACTGAAAACAGCAGTAGCGTGATAATTAAGAAAAATTCTAAGGATAATATGGAGGGTAAACAGAAATTCATCTAACCTTCGTTTATTACGTGCTTTAATAATTGTTTTGGAAGTATTATTCATTTATTGTTCTAGAATCTTTGGAAGAAAAGAAAGAACGCTTGAAGAAGGAGATTAATGAACTTAAAGTTGTTAGCTCTAATTTAGAATATGGTATTGGCATTACAAAGTTTGGTCATGATGACAATATCAAAACAGTTCACGAATGTCTTAAATACCTGAACAAAAATGAGAATAATGTTCACGATACGCAGGTCAATTTACAGTATACCTTGTATAGTTATGCTGGGATACACTGTGTCAAATTCACAGACAACTGTGTTGTATTCAAATTTGCATCATTTGGGGAATACAAAAAATGTGATAAATATGCGGTTCAGATAATGATTGAGGATGATAAAGCCAAATTGGGACATTGGATAATGCCCAATTGGTTAGACATACATCAAGTTTTATTAGAAACTCCATTACAAAATCCAAGAAATATTATGTGTTTCATAAGAAACTGCAAACATCATATATATTGTTATCATCATCGCATGACTCACTTTAATAATTTAAAGGTACTTTCCTTAGATTGAATAAATATGCTTCTTAGAATTGAAAATGTTAATGTACATTAAAAATTACAGTCTCTCACAAGTGAAATGATAAACTGCCATATATGGACAAATTTGAATTACACCCAAATCAATTTAGAATTGTTTGAAGTGCAAGAAATGGAATCTAGTACATACCTTGATTTGGTATTGTATTTAGAGTATCATTCTTGTGAAATCAAGCCATATCGAGGTGTCATTGATTCACTGGGCACAAGAAAATTTCCAGAGAGAAGAATAAAAGCACTAACGTTATATTTAAAGTATTTTAAACATATGAACTTGGAAGAAGCATTTAAAAGTCTCATTGATGGTTCAGCTACCTCATATATTTGGGTTCCAAAAATTGATAGTGATAGTGCTTTGGATTTAAATGTAAATTTTTCAGTTTTCTTTAAATTATTATGTAGTTATTTTAATTTCATAAGTGCACATTAGGAAATCTATTTTTGTTTTAGGACATCAGTGATACAGAGAGTGAAACATACAAAAACATTCGATCTTCACTAAAACGTAAACGACGACGAATTCGGCCCATAAAAAGGAAACAATATGAGAAACAAAAGTCACTACTGGATAAAGTCACAGTTGAAGATAATCCTATCTTAACTTTAGAAAACAAAAGGAAGAAGACTGAGAAAATTTCTGGGACACCCAGCAGTGTAAATAAATTTGAAACGTCCAGGAACGTTAAAAGTAAATTCAAACAAACTCAATTAAATTTTGAGGTGTCAAAGACTAAAAAACAGACTGCAGTAAGTGATGAGACTGATACTGAATCTGAAAGGAGTAGAAGTACTACTCAATCAAGCGCAAGTACAAAGAAACTACCTGTTTTTACCAGCACGCCTTCTCGAGGTAAGTCAAAGGAATCTGCTTCCTTTAAAATGTTGACGAAATGGAATATTAGCGATATTAAATCAAACTTGACACCTACTAAGAGTGAAACAATACTAACAAGGAAAAAAATAAAATCTGGAAACTTATCAAAGGGATCATTGAAGAAAAACTCAGCTCTAAAGAAAGATAAAGCACAAGCTCATACTAGTACGAGAGAAACAACTCCCATAAAATCCAAGATTCCCATTCTTGTTAAATCGCCAGGTCAAATAAATAAAAATAAGAAAATACCAGGTTTAAGAGAGGGTGTACTTAAAGATAGAGCAAAGAATAAAAATGCTCGAGCTGAACGAAAGATATAAAGAGGCATATCAGAAGATATTGCTTCAGGATAAAGAACAATTGAACATAAAGTTATAGACTTAGGTGAGCTGTCCTTACCCTTGGATGCTATCTCCTGATTACACTTTAGTTAATACCAGTTCTACGTATTAAATACATTGGATTTTGGTTCAGAGTTTCAAGAAAATATATAGATACATATTTTCTTATTATATACTTAGTTTAGATAGATATATATTTTTTGTCACACGGAAATATTTTTCCTATTAGGTGTACAAAGTAGTGAGTGTAAGCAATTGCCAGTGATCCAATAAAATGCAGGTGTAATAAAGTCGATCTTCTATTAAGGTGCTGTGTATTGAAAAAGCTTAATTAAGTGATATCAAATATTATTAAATTCACTTGTTACGTATGTAACTTACATGCGAATTTCTCGACATTAAAGCCGACGGTTGGCACTATGTCTATACAACGGTCGTCCTCACGCTTGAAATGATTTATGACCGTTGACTTACCGCTGTTATTAAGGCCGATTACTAAAACGTTTACTTCTTTTTTCTTGAGACCTAAGAGACCCGTTAAACGGTCGAATAAGCCCATTTTTCTTTGCTTTCTTGGTACTTATGGTTCGTTTTATTGAACATCGATAATCATCCCCTAACCGTATGTATTGGAGCCTACCAACCCCTAAACAAGGGGGGGGAGACATTACTTTAGAATTATTCTACTGAATCTTAATAGTTATTCATTATTCATGTTTAGTAATTCCAGAATTTCGTTTAGAAATACGTACTGCAATTGATATAAGAAAAATATTTGGCATTTTGTATTAAAAATATTTGTAAGGATTGAAAAATATAAGCTTATATACATGAATCTTCCATTGACCGACTTTAACGCCCTCAATATGTCTGCTTCGTTACCTACGCTTTCTGCATTTTACAAAAAGTGCAAATTCTTATTGGACGATATTTTTAAATAACCAGTGAGAATCTGCGCTTTTTGAAAAGTGCAGAAAATGTAGATAGAGATGAGTAGGGAGATGCACAACCCTACGGTTTTAGGCCAGAGATGAGTAGGGAGTTCGGGAATAGAGTTTTGTGATCATTGCCTCCGTCGATAGTGCATATCCCGTCGTAGCCGAGCTGAACGTGATCACGAACGGATAGCCTGGCGGGCAGAGGTTCTCCGCAACTTACCGCTGATTCCCAGAGCAACCCTTAGAAAGAGGCCGCTCATCAGATATTGCCTAAATATTTTTTTTTGTAATCTTAAATTCGAGTGTACATACAGTGTAGTCTCGATAAGATTTACTAAGACAAAAGCCATCACCTCATGCCTGCTTGCGTTTAGGAGTGCAGCGATGCGGTGCTAGCTTCCAGCATTATTTAACAATAGTTCCAAGCAGAACTATGGTCCCAACATTGAGTACTAGAGAGAACTATTTCGGAACTGTTTGAAACACAATCTGAAAACAACACTGAAAGCCAGCTCCTTATGCATACCTGCACTGAAGCATATGGTGCGACTAGTATCCTTAATAGGTATTTTGCTGATGTTACATAAAAGAACTATGGTTAAAACCTATCAAGAACTATAGAACTCCTTGAGAACTAATCAAAAAGCCTATTGTTGAAACATTTTTAAGAGATTTTAAAAAAGTGCGGTCCTGGAGCTAACACCCGTGTAGCATCTCAATTTTTGAACAATGTTTCAACAATAAGCTTTTTCAAGAGTTCTAGATGAGTTCTATAGTTCCTGATAGGTTTTAACAATAGTTTTATTGCACAACGTCGGTAAAATATCTATTCAATATACTGGTGGCATCATACGCTTCAGTGCAGGCAGGCATCATTTGATGGCTTTTGTCATATTGAATTTACCGACCTTACACTGTGCGCTCGAACTTAGAATTGCAAAGAAAAAAGGTATTTAGACTATATTCGATGAGCTGCCTCGTTGTAAGTATTATTTTGTGAACTAGCGTTAAGTAGCGGAAAGCCTCTGCTCGCCAGGCTACACGTTCGTGATCGCGGTCAGCTGGGCTATGACGGGATCCGCATTATCAATTGAGGCAATGATCACAAAATTCTACTTCCGGACACGCCGCTGCGATTCAGTGCCATGCTTTTAGTATCCTCTAAAACCGTAGCGTTGTGCATCTCCCTACTCATCTCTGGTGTAGGTAACGAGGCAGACCTAATGTATTTTAGAGATGCAGTTGAGAAACACTGTGTGCACATGTGTCTAGTGTTATCCAGTGTTTTGTAAGGAGTTGTTGTTGGAGTAAAAATCGTTAGGATTTTGTATAAATTCAAATTTATTTTTATTGCAGCAATTCGTCAGCAAGTACTGCAAATATGGTATGTGTAATTTAAATTATCTTGTTAGTTAGAATTGTTATTGAAAGTTCAACAGGTTAGCTATAACACATTTATGGTAAAAATTTTCAGCCGAAGGGAAAGTCAAAGAAGTTTATTGATAAGAAGAATTCGGTGAGCTTTCACCTAGTTCATCGTTCGCAACAAGATCCATTAGCAGCTGATGAAACTGCTTCACAAAGAGTATTAGTACCAATAGGAGAATCGCAATCTTCTAAATCTGAAAAGAAGTCAGTGGATACTACAAAGCGCAAGGAGGAGCAACAAAAATATGGAATATACTTTGATGATGATTATGACTATTTGCAACATTTACGAGACGTTAACTCATTGCCTGTTGAATGGGAGCAAGTGGAGAATCCAAACAGAGAGAAAGATAATAAGAATGAGGTTCCAAAAATTAATTTGCCTTCCTCAGTGTTTGCTTCCACTGTTGAAGAGGATGTGGGTTTGCTCAACAGAGCTGCACCAGTCTCTGGACTAAGACTGGATCTTGATCCTGATGTTGTAGCAGCTATGGACGATGATTTTGACTTTGATGATCCAGATAATGAATTAGAAGACAATTTTCTAGAGTTAGCAAATGGGGTTGATAGTAAGGATGCATTCAGTGAAGATCAGGAGGATGAGAATGAAGAATTGGATGAAAGTGAGGAAGGTGAAAGGGATTCTAATGCTTCTTCCATGGGTCATATGGAAGTATCAGATGAAGAAAGGGATGAAGTATGTAGTCTTGATGGACCTCAGTTCACATTTAAAGATGAAGAAACAAAATCTCGCTTCACAGAATATTCTATGAGTAGCAGTGTTATGAAAAGAAATGAACAGCTGACATTCCTCGATGACAAATTTGAGCGGGTACGTTTTCTTGTATAGAAAAAGAAACATTTTTACAGAAAGAAGTTTTTATCCTTATTAAATTTTAGATGTATGCTGGATATGACGAAAGTGAAATTGGCGCCCTGGATTGTGACGAAATCGAGGGTTACGTCGAACCTGATTCTGACATTGTGTTACAATATGCCAAAGAGTTTGAAAATCAACAAAAAGAAGATGTAAGTATCCAGTATAATTTTTCTACAATAAAATGGTTTCATATGTTTTTTTTTGTAGACAGAAAATGTGACGAAATTAATGAAAGATCGTATGAAAATTATTGATACAGAATACTCAAGTTCTGAGGAAGGTGATGAGAAATTGGAAAAACTTATTGTTGAACCCAGAGAAAGAGATAAATGGGATTGTGAGAGCATCCTGAGTACATATAGCAATATTTATAATCATCCAAAACTAATTTCTGAACCAAAGGTAACAGTTTTCATAAATGAATATCAACTTTTTGTGTTCTAGCACTTGATCGCCTAGGGCATATAAAGCAAAAAGGAATAAGAAAAAAAAATGTCTAAGTTACTAACATAGTATTATTTTATACAGACTCCAGGAAAGATAAAAATTAATCCAAAAACAGGTATTCCTAAAGATGTTTTCGATGGACAATACGGTAAATTAACGGCGAAAAGTTTGGTGCAATTCGATTTGCAAAATCAATCTGAGCTCCCAAGAGGTGCCCAATCAGTTGCAAACACTATGAAATCTACTTTAAGTGTGTTAAGTGTTAGACCAAAGAATGAAACTCCGGAAGAGAGGAAAGACCGAAAAAAGACTTTAAAAGAATACAGAAAAGAACGAAGAATAGAAAGAAAGGCCAATGCAGAAGCATTTAAAGAAGAGAAGAAACGCCAAGAGAAAATAATGCTCAACAATAAACAGAATGTGCAAGGGAACCGCATACTATAAGAAAAAATATTTTTATTTATTATTGCAAAAGGTATTTGCAAATAGCTATTGTAATTAAATGTATTTACCCTAATATCCACCTTTATTGGTGTATCTAAGATTATTAGAAATACAATCATTTCCTCAATTTTTAATATCCTTTTTAGTCTTTCCATCTTTCATTTTATTATGTTTTATTCTAAAACGAAATACCTGAATCATTTTTAATCGATGGAGTCTACCTGTGCCATTGTTGACACCTCATGAAATTGACGTTTACTTTATATAACCTCAAAATCATTCACACAATCTATACTGTCAGTGGTACGTAAAAATGTTTCTTCTTTCACTAAAAGGGAATAAGAATTAATTTTTGAGAAATTTTATTTTAGAGTATATGAAGGCAACGAATATTAAGTATTATTATAGTTGAAGAAACAGTTAAGACATCACTGTCAATATGTCTCAACTCGTAACCTCTCCCGAAGTAGACAAAGATGTTGCGGAATCTGTAGAAGAGAAATCTTTGGACAGTGGCTTGGGTCGCTATTTTAGTAATGCAACGCATACAATCTTTGACGAAATAGTTTCTCCTGACATAAACTCGGATATACTTAACGCATCCGTTTCTGCTCCAACACCACATCCTGTATTCACTACAATGTCAGTAACTACATCTAATGATTTCCTTAATGGTTCTTTCTCTGATACGGAACGTGTGTCAGATCATGTTACTGCTAGTGATTCGCATAGAGATGCTTGGATACCTTCTGAACATACAAGGAAGATACTTGCTTCGCTGGCCTTGACTCCTGGTAACAACTTTCCTGACAGAATAAATCTTACCATGCCAGGATTGATGCTTCAGGGTGACTTGCCTGACATTACAAAAGAAACTGCTATTCATTTCTTAGGTGAAGAGGAGAATATTCATAGAAATGTTTTAACTGCTTCGGATGTGACTCAGGATGAACGTGGTTTGAGAAATTTAATACATGCTGGATGTTATCGAGCTGCTGTCAACCTAACGGGTAGACTCATCGCAGTGTATGGACAAGGATATGGAAAAATAGATCACCCAAGTAAACATACTCCACATTCTCTACAGCTGTGGTTTACTAGACTTGCTTTGCTTGCTAAATTAAAACAGATTGACATTCTGGAGAATGAATCAAGACCATTTGGAAATCTTGATAAGCCTGACATGTTCTTCACATTTTATCCTGAATTATATGGTACCAGACCAGGCTCTATGGCTTCATTTGCCTTTAGATTACTGCTGGCAGAAATCCCTTCTTATTGTGGAAAGTCCAAATTAGCTATGGATAATCTTCATAAAATTCTAGCAACTGTTAGACAAATAATAAGAAATCTACAAATGGGCTTAGCTGAAGATGGAGGTCGAGCAAAGTTTTCCTTAGCTGAACGAGATGATTCAATAAGATTATGGCTTGGAAGAAAGTCAAGAATCCTTATTTCCATTGTCAATTGTGCTCTTGGCATGAAGAATTACGTTCTAGCTGTGGATGTATTGGAAAATTTATGCGAGTCTCTTGATTGGACTCCTGATCAAAGACAGATATTGATTTCTGCAATCGGTAGAGCATATCTCTTCCTGGGAGATGTCTCTGCTGCAGAAAAGAAATTCGCCATTGGTACAGATAGTAGAGAAAATCCTACAACCGTTAGGGAACATATGGATAACGGCTTAATTGCAGTTGCTCAAAATGCATTTCAAGAAGCTTATAATTCTTTTAAAAAAGCATCAGCGATAGAACCTTCAAACATCACTGTAATAAACAACATGGCCGTATGTCTTCTCTATACTGGACAACTGAAAGCAGCAGTACATTTATTGGAAAATGCAATTGCAAGGAATCCAGCAAAGAGTTTACAAGAAGCTGTATTGCTAAACATCTGTACATTATATGAGTTACACACTACTCATTGCAAACAACCCAAATTGCACTTGCTACGGCAGTTAAACAGATACAAAGGGGATGCTACGTCGATACAATGCTTAAAACTTATAATTTAATTCATCAATGTAATTGTAGTGAAATCCAGTTATTTAATTTATATTATTCCCATATATGGCATACTTTGGACATAAATTATTTAAGATTATTTTGGTGTGTATATTATGATTTATACATGTATATTGAGAATAAATGAAGGACAATGCAAACTGTTCAGCGTGAAGCATACATTTCCATATAAAATATATAATTACTTGCCTCATAAATTGAAAAAAGAAAGTTAAACATTATGTAAATTATCGATAAAGTATATTCATACATACACTTACATGATTTTCCCGCGTCAGTTCATGAAAGGAGCGCCGAAGAAATCAGATTTGTGAATGGCCAGATCTTTCATGACGTAGGATTTTGACCAATCAGAGATCTACTCTTCCTAACGAGGTTGTACGACTACTAACCGTTTTTTTAGATATGTATTAAGTCATGGTTCTCGCTAAGGTGTAAAATTTGATTGAATTTAATAATAAAACTATCACTGAAAAATGACACTATATCATTTTGGAAACTGCCTGGCGCTCGTATATGTACCATATTATTTAACTTATAAATATTCAGGGCTGTAAGTACTTGACAAGATCTTATATTTCATATTTCGCAAATCATAACCTAATTTAACATAATCACAACCATTTTAGCTCAGAATATGGAGCTTTTTGGAAATGTGTTCAGGCAGGAGGTATCTACATATTTACTCAACTTGTTAAAATGTTAGCGCTTGCAACATTTTTTCCGACAGCCGATAGCGTCGGACAAGAAGGCTTTGACATTTTTGGAGTATGTTATTTAACACAATTCCTTAATTAGATACAATGAATAATACAGCCTATAGTTTGTTATCAAAAACCTTCTGCTTTTAGGAATTTCTCAAATCTTCCATTGATCTCGCAGACCTTGCTGGAATACTATTAGTATTGAATGGTATACCAGGAAAAGGCCATGCTAAAGTTTTGACATCAGGTATTGGATGGGCAGGTGCAGAGGTACTTCTCACTAGGTTTCTATTGCTATGGGTAGGTGCACGTGGTGCTGAGTTTGACTGGAAATACATTCAGAAGAGTTTAGAATCCAACATCAATCTGGTAAAATTATTTACTCTGTAGAACTTATAATTAATAATTAAACTGTTATTTAATTATTTTGGTTTATTGATCTTCAGGTTCAGCATATAACGACTGCAACACTTGTCTGGCTGTGGTCAAGACATGACTTACGTCGTGGCCTTGTTCCATTAGTTGTCGGTATGCTGTTAATAACGATTTATAGGCCATTAATTCTTGACTTTTTAACATCTGTTTTACTGGCTGGTCCATGGTCATCCCTTTTCATTAAAGCTGTCACCACACTCTTCATGGGTGCTACTACTTTGCATATTTATGCAGGTCTTGCTCATTCCATTGGTATATTTTAAGCAGTAAGTTGAAAATGTACATACGATTATAAAGTGTTAAAGCAAAACCTATAAATATCTATGCATCAATGTGGAATGCATATAGAAACATGAGAACCAATCAGAATCATGGATATTTATTACTATTTACTTCATTGTAAAACGTAAGTTGATATATTAAAAGACTTATAACTGCATACGTAATAATATATTCAGATGAATTTTAATGTGTTTGATTTGGACATCCAACCTATATAAATTCTAATATGCTTTTTATAGCTTTTATTGAAATAACCCTTTATTGAATCTTAAATTCTACTATGAGTCAAAACTTTTGACATCCTGTAGACTCACTCCAACTCAGTCTTGTAAATCTAAGACAATATCAATATTATATTATCTATTTTGGACAGCAAATAAATAACTTTTATACGATACAAAATTAGACATAACATTTATAATTTTTGAAAACTCAATCTTTTCACGTATTTACATCAATTCGATTGAGTGACTAAAAGTTTCCCCAATATTTTTCATAACTTTACACGATTAGGTGTTTCCCGTATTTTATAATATGCATAAACACGTGACCGTTATGAAAACAATGTATGATTCTTTGAGGGAAACAAGACAATGTTACAATATTCTTATTATTATGACTTGGAAAAATTAAGAAAATACTTAATTAGCGAAAAAAAAAACGAAGTGTAATCTATAAACAGCTCTAAAATTTGTATACTTGAAAAATATAAAAATGACCTAGTACTATTTAATCTCTGATAAAAATTCATTCATCGCAAGGCATTAGTATACAATAGAGGATTGTCAATCAGTATCAATCTTCCATGTAACATTTGAACAATTTTGTAACCGAGATATTAATCTAAAAAATTCATTCAAATATTGTGAGGTTCTAAGTTTATCTGGAAACAAAACTTCTTAACCATTTTTCTCTGAATATATAATACTGTACACTTCGTTATCGGATGGATTTTCATTCATCTTCGTTACAAGTATTTTATATAATATCAGGATCATAAAACTCAGGATTATCTTTATATCACTGTTCCGATTGATGAAGGGATCGTAGAATTAGCATCTTAATTTTACGTGTGTTAGTATTCCTAACACCTCTTAATCATTACGTGTGTTTACAAATCTTCAGAAAAACAAGATGACACCAGAATTACAGTAGAAAATAATGCATACCCAATTTTATTTAGGAAGGAGCACACTGTATTCTTGTATCATTCTCAAAATCCGATTGACTGCCACTGTAAGTCGAAGAGTCGTTATCACTAGATGAATCCATATCAGTGACCATTCTAGTATCTGGCACCTGGTTGGCTAATCGTTCCATGTAATTCTATAAAAATTACAATTCACAATTTTATATCTAATTGTACAAGGTTGTCTATATTAACTTATAGCCAAAGACCTTTCTAGGTAACTTTATCAAAATATAATTGTATCAATTCTTTCTGTCTGTAAGATACAACACTTACTCTTACTCTCACTGTTCGACGCATGTGCCTTTGTAAGAATCGACGCATATGACCAGCAAATACATTTGATGTGATACATGCTGTATCCTCCGCCCTCCTTCTCAAGTTAGACTTAATACACTGGGTAGAAAAAATTATTTGTGAAAATATTGCGCAAAAATACAAGTACTAACCATAATTAAATTAACATTTATTAGAACATACGTTCTGTAGACCAGTCATGTCAGGAACTTTCTCATCTGAAGGTATCCAAATTTTGACATCGTAATCAAGACCACTTGTCGCCAAAATTGGAATATGTGGATGGGGTTCTAAAACGTTCACCTAAAAAAGAGTTATGTCAGAGCATGTTGGAATCTAACAGATAAATTTATGACGCTTGATATATTACCACTCCTTGTTCATCACCAAGCATCCACTTCACTATAGCTTCTGTATTTTTATCCCATATATAAATGTTACCACAGTCAGATCCTGATATTATGAACTCACTCTTTGGTCCAAAGAAATTAACGCCCTTTACTGTAACAATATAAATATATAAATCATTGCTTTGTAATTCTCAAAATCCATACGTACCAGTAGCATTGTTTCTATGACCCTGGTATCTCTGAGCAAAATCTTCACCAGACTGGGTAACTGACAAGTCAAATAGATAAATATCTTCATCATTGTATGAGGCAAGAATTTCGGTCCCATTGTAATTGTACACAGCGCATGTGATGTGAGCATATTTATTGCCAATCTATAAGAAACAATATATATTTGAGGCTTTTTATTTCGTATTAACTTCTTAATTTGTTTCATTAAATAAATAAAACGTACCAAACGGCGTGGACAAAGTTTATAAAGTGGTATTGTAACTTTTCGTCTGTCATATACGCGGACATAATGATCACGACCTCCCACACAGAACTCATTACTGTTTAAAGGATTGGAGTGAATGCTATACAGCCGCACATCTGTTGAGGCCTCCCTGACAGTTAAAAGTCTACACAAAAAACCATCTTCTTAGTATTCAGAAGGATTAAATGTTTATCAAACACTCACTTGGTAGGTTTACTACGGCGCACGTCTATAGATAGCACCTTGGCATCTTCTCCAGCGGAAAGGACCACATGAGGAGTATCCGGATGTGTTGAAATTTTGTGACAAGCTCCTCGGTGAGATGCTAACTTCTTGGAGATATTGGCGTGGAGATCGTTCAATCGAATTTGCCCATCACGAGCTGCAGTTACTAAAAGATATTCCATATCCAGTGGTAACCATTTCACCTGTCGAGTAACGGAATAGCGTGTACGTTATATGGAATTTTATGGATTTGATTTTATTATGAATATTACCTGAAATATATTACTTCTGTGGGCACTCTGGATGATACGTTGTGAATTTCCTGTAGCCCAATCCCAAATAACAACTTCCAAGTCATCAGATCCACTGGCAATTAGATTACCTTTTTGATTGAAACTCAGTGCATTAACACAGCCCTGAAGGAATATTCAAAGTAATTGTTTTGTCGATCTCAAATAAATTATAGATACGTTCATATTGATTTTATTTTAAATCATGATACCTGATGCCCTTTTAACTTGTACATAAGTTCTAGCCGTTCCACGACATGCAGTGAACCATAGAATTTGCGTTGAAAAAGTGGATTATTTCCTAATTGACGATTAATGATCTCCTGGACCATTAACCAATTTGGCTTGGGCTTTTGCTTTCGCATCACTGCCTCTTCCTCATCCAAATCTTCTTCGCTGGCTGTAGTCCACTCATTAGAATCATCCTTACCTTATAAGTGATATTTATTGCCCACATATAAGTATTTGAATGAAAATTGATTTTTGTAATTAAGATCCAATCTCGTTGCTCACCTTCCTGATCTAGATTATCACTACTGGAATCTGAATCGTGCTCAAGAAGCTCATTTAATGGGACATCTATATTGTCATCATCAGAGTCATCATTAGCTTGTGCCACTGTATTTTGACCATTTGATGTTTCGCCAACACCTAATACTGTAATGTAGATATGATATAAAAAAAATGTATCTTACAATTTAAATAGATAGTCAGAAATATACCTCGTCCTTTAGAAATGGATTCATCCACAACCATTTGATTTGATCCCTCACCGAATTCACTTTCTGGATATTCCTTCATACGGTAATTGCGATTTTTCACTTTAAACTTCAATTTATGGAATAAGCTTGTATTGCCTCTTGCACTACTTCCAGCACAGTTGTCATCAACAGTAGGTAGATCATTAGGACTCTCACTGGTTCTTTGACGTTTACTAGAATCTTCTTCGGAACTGTTACCTGACTTCTCCATAGAAGTATCAGTATCTCCACTTCCAGGTTCTGCTACAGATTTAATGTTTGTAAGGTTCAGCAATTTCAAGATATTGTACATATGATCTTCTTCTATAAGATTATTAAAATACCTATAGAGATACTTCTTTTTGATGAACTCTGATCACTACTCGAGGTGTGTGGATCGTTTTCATTTGACAAACGACGTGTGGAATTTGTCTTTTTCATTTCTGAAACATTCATTGGATGTCCATTTCCAATTGTTAAATCTTTCTTTTTATCCATTGATTTCTCCAATGAATTTAATATCTCATTACTTGTGTTGTCAATGTTGTCTATAGATTTTCCAGACTTTTCTACATTATTGGTATTCTTAGTATCGGCAGTAGTTTCTAAAGACTCTATTGTTTCTTGTGCAGAAGGTTCAATCTTCTCACTTTTGAGATCCTTTCCTCTGTCATCAGTGTCCATATTCATTTAATTTCATGTGACATTAAAAAAAGACAATTATGACCTCTTTCAATCTCTTTGACTGATATGTTCTTATAAAAGGTAAATATGTTTGCTGATTTTTATTTCACTCGTCCTGCAATATAATTCTGGAATCTAAAAAGTAAGTTAAGTAGAAAGTTATGTTCGCAGTTTCATGCTATTTACTATTTTTATCAATAAACGGACTATAGAAAACCCTTAATTTGGGCTATCAGCATCAACTAAATCAATCTTCAGCTCTTTAATGTTATGGTATGATATTAAAGAAGTTGAACTAAAATAAAGAACAATAAAGATAACATAGCTAACAAGGAATTAGAAATATGCCAAGATAAATTAACAGAGCTTGCAGTATCGTGTGACATACTCAAAATGTAAAAGCAATAATCGGCGCAATTAATGATTATATAAATTTATTTATTTTTGTGGAAGGCTTTAACTAAGGCTGATACGCACCCGATGAACAGTTTCTTGAATACCGCTAACACGAAACAGTGACCTAAAAGCTACAGATGGAGTAGTGCTGTGAGCTGACGTTTTCACTGCGTCGACAGAGTTTTCAATTGCGTTTTAGCCACTCTGCCTCATTTATTACATGACACCTATGTATGTCGTCGGCAGATAAATGCATTTACTTAAGATCTAATATTCATAGCGCTTTACATATTAGTTGCACTTACATTTTACTTAATCATTTATTATCAAACGTTCAGTTGAATAAAATCTGATACTGAGCCTCCATTCTCTATTGAACGCATTATTCCTCTTATCATAAGAGATTTTGTTACGACTTCATTCAATCAACAACAGCCGGTGCTGGTATCGCATGGCGTTTAAATATCATCTAAAGCGCGATGCTAAAAGTTTTTAAAAATGGCTCGTATAGTAAAATTCTTTAAAGTTATACGGAATAATTGGAAAAAGTCAACATTTGCTGCAGCAGCTCTTTCTTATGGAGTCTCGTATAGTGTCGATTCTTATGAGTACGTATGTGGTACATTGTTCTAATTAATTTCAGGGATTACTGTGTTCTTAACCTTATGTTCAATTTTTAATTATTATTATTGAATATTTTCAGTACTGAACAATTGATGAGGCAATACTGCGAAGAGGCAGTCAAATATGGAGATGAGCCACTGCCTACTCATATTAAGCCACGGCATGTCACAGTTATATTAAATCCTGTGGCTCATAAAAGGTTTGTGTAGTAAAATTGCAATGTAATCTCTGTAGAAGTATTACTACGTATCATATATAGAATCCATTAATCCTATATTGCAGGAAAGCTGAGAAACTGTTCAAGGATTACTGTGAGCCATTGCTACATCTTTCTGGAATAGCAGTGACAATATTACAGACAGAATCAGAGGGTCATGCACGGAATTTAGTGACGAATTTGAATACTCAGACTGATGCCATAATTGTAGCAGGTGGTGATGGCACATTGTCAGATGTTGTTACTGGAATTATGCGGAAGTACAATGTCGATTTGAGTTTAGTACGGCAATGCCCAATTGGTATACTTCCTTTGGGTCAAGTGAATAGAGTAGCAGATTCTATATTTCACGGATATGAGGATCATTCCCACATTCGTGAAATGGCAGAAGCCACGATGGCTGTTGTAAAAGGAGAAACTAAAATGATTGATGTTGTCGAAGTGCAAGTGCTCAAAGTAAGTAAATCCAAATTCATACTGTCTTATATTATAGGCATGTCAACGTATAAATTAATTGCATATATGTTATAGCAAGATCCTGAGAAGCCCATGAAACCTGTGTATGCAGTTGGTGCTCTAGAATGGGGTGCTTGGCGAGATGCTAATGCACGTGTCAATAAATACTGGTACTGGGGGTCACTTCGAAAGTAAGTCTCATCTTTACAGTTATTATATATCGTTGAACAATGCATTAAACATACCATTTTACATGCATCCGAAAATCGTAGGTACGCTACATATGTATTTAATGGATATAAAGGAGATTTAAATTGGGATTGTGATGGTGTAATTCGATACACGGAACCTTGCGACGGTTGTTCTCGTTGCTATTATGAACACCAAACTACTAGTAATTCTACTTTGGAAAGAAGATGGTGGCATTCCTTTCTACCAAAAAGAACTTCCATGCCATCTGGTAATTACTTAGAATTCGATTAATATCAATTGAGAATTCCTCATTTTTTATATAACATAAACTGTACTTTCCACAGTGGATTACAGTAAAATAACAAATGAAAAATGCGGTGAGGTTCACGAGATGCCAATTGCTGCATCAGAAGTTCACGTAACAACTAGTAATGCAAAAGGAGTAAAAGCACCAGCAGTACCAGCAGTAAAAGTAGAATTAGGTAAATAAATTTTATCTGAATGTTTATGGTAATTTTAAATAGATCAAATACAAGCAACAGTAATAATACAAATTTTATTTGAAGGTCCTAAGAGCGTTAGTTATGCAACATTCGTTGCTGAAGGATGGAAACGTGTACATGGAAACAAAACATTAGTGAATCACACAGTGGAGGCTAAGGATATTGAGCTTCATCCGAAGAAAGCTGAAGACATCTCGGTGAGTGAAATTGTATAATTTTGTAAGTGTTATTTTAGGAACAAAGGCATATTAACATGGAACAATATTCCTTACAGAGGGAAAAAGAAGAAATGTTTTCAATAGACAATGAGGAATTCGAATTGAAACCTATTAAAATTCGTTTACTTCCTAGGACTGTAAAAATATTCTGTCCATCGTCAGGCAGTTCGTTTAATAAATAAGATAGCACATAGAAATTAAGTGAATTTCTTTTGAAATATATTTTATTAACATTCTTTTACATAAATATCATATAGTGACTATGATTTGGAATCGATCACTTGATTCGCGTTCCAAAAGGCAGAGAGCCTCGTAATACTCCTTTCAATACGAATTAATTTTTAAGGTCTATCTTAAATCCTAGTTCATACAAAATGAACTTCTGTACACAATAATTACATTCGAAATTCTGACTACGAGATATGTTTTAATGCTTAACTTTGTATAATACACTGTTTACTTTTGGCAACGTATATTTATTATAAAAAAATAATTTATTTTAAAAACGGTTTTCATAGATTTGCTCAGTCTCAGCTTCTTCCGGGTTTCGATTTCCTCGTAATATATATCATCTGTGAATGAATCTCAGAAAGTTTAGATGTGATAAAAATTGATACGTGATCATTCGCAAGCTGTCAGATGATAGATAAAGGAAATATTTATTTCCAAATGGCCTAGGAACTTTTTCAGTAAATTCTCATTTCGTGAATAACATGATAAATGAGACTGATATTGTTCATTTCTTAAAAAAAAAGGAACTGAGGCATTCGTCATTTTTCAACACTTATCACCCCTGTATCACGCATCATCACGGGTCACGAGTATTATTGACTGCGGGTCGACGTGTCTCTTAAATATTTAATTCCGGTTTATCAGACCATGTAACGTTCATCGCTGTTGTTCGGATTCTGTTTGGGTGGAGATAACGCAGGGTTTTTCTGAACACAGTTCCTTGTCGCATTCCTTACCAGTAATTTTAAAGAAATTGAGTAATGAAATTGATGGACTCTTAGGCACTTTTCGTGGTTCCGTAGATTTTGATCTACCTGTCCTTCGAGCTGGAGTCAATTGGGCCTTAGGACTACTTGCTTTATCATTTGTAACTTTGACAATTTTTTGCTCGTACCGTTCCTTCCTGATCTTTGTCAACCAATCCATATTCTCCTTGCACTTTTGTGGTGACATTTGTAGAAGATGCGGCGCCGTACCGTCAATAACAAAGTTTGGTAGGTTCAAAGTTGGTGAAAAGAGATGACTATTTATCTTCCTGGTTGGGATTGAAGAACTAGGTCCTGGCTCATCTGAATCGTATCCTCTGTTCAGTATTGTTTCACTGTCACTTCCTGGACTAAATAGCCTGCGTGCTCCACGATTTTCCAAGTGAGCACGTTTCGCTAAAGGCTCTATATTCTCGTGAATTGGTGACAGGATTGATTTAAATTTACTGTCTGTAATACATTCCCGGGACGAAATTTGAGAGTAATTTCTTTTGGAAGAATTTGTGCTGTCACGAGTCCAGGAAGTACAATTTGTATCTGATATATCATCAGAATTTGGATGAATGGGTGTATTAATGCCTACAAAAAAGAAAAATAAGTTACAAATTATTACTCTGTCTAACACTTAGACAATTTTCCTTTTATTAAATGAAATATTCTCTTACCAGGATTTGAATCAGATCCTGGTGTACGTTCTTGATTAATAATCCATCGACGTGATACGGTAGGTGTAGTTTCTAACCCCGGATGTCCTACCTTATTTGTATTAAATACAGCCTCAGCTTCACCTTGTATTTGAACTTCTGCGTTGTCTATCTTATATTCGGGGCCTACCCGCCATATTCTGTGGCAAGAATCGTCTGAACAAGTTACTATCTGTAAAGATATGTATAAAAAGAAGTATCAACATTGTCATTATAAATAATAACGTTGTAGGCTGAATAGGTTTACTTTAGTTTCTCCAACACTACACCATGCTATGCATGTAACTTCTTCTGTGTGTCCTGAAAGTTTTACCAGTGGACCACCAGGTCTATTAGTATGCCAAATATAAGCTAACTCATCACTTGATCCACTGGCCAAGTATCGACCATCAGGACTTAAGCATGTCTTTACGTAGAAAGTAGAATTTTTATGCCCATAAAACTCTGCCACTGTAATATATTGTGTTAATCATGAACTCTATGCAATATGCATAATGTATTTGCCTAAATGGAATTCTGATTTACCTGGCTTAGGATTATAAGATGTTATGTTATAGGCGTATATGATATTATCCATGCAGCTTGCGTAAAGTGTTATTCCAGCTGGACAGACTAGTAACGACGTAAAACCGTTTCTCGTGCTACCACCTGCATAGTTCATCACGTGTTTGGCTAAAGGGTCCCTTTTATGCACTGTATAATTTTTTCGTAAATCCCATACTTTTATTAATCTAAGAAGATGAATTAGGAATTGCATGATTTTCAAGAATCAGAAAGTTACAATTGATATGACATATGACAAGATACAAATCAGTGGAAACATTACCCATCGCCAGCTGTACAGGAAAGTAATGTGAAGTCATCTTGAAAGACGAGACCAGTGATACTCTGCGCTCTTGAAGCTGCTGAAAGGGCACGACGATGGTATTTTGTACTTCCTGTTTGCCGCATACCATGAGCATTAAAGATGCAATTGTCTGGTTTTGGTAGATCATTGTGATTTGCTCGAATATCCCAGATCATTATGGCACCATCGCGAGCTCCAGTTGCAAATACAGCTGTAATAAATGTGTTCTGCATTATACTATAGTCATAATTATAATTCAGATTTATCTTGCCAGAATGGCATTGTAAATTAAAATACCTTTATCTTGTTGTCGAAAAACTGCTGTTTTGACACTTCGGGTATGTGCATGAAAACAATCAATCTGTGATATTTCTTGTCTGCTTACATCCCACAATCTGGCAGTGTGATCTCCTGATGTAGTAACTAGTTTTAGTTCTCCAGGCATCCATGCTACATCAAATATTGCATTGCAATGTGCCTAGAATATATCATTATTTAAAACAATACTTGACATCATGTTGATAATAATATAGATATCAATTATTGACATACTTGAGTTCCTTCTAGCACTTGATTTGGTTCTCTGTTAATGGTAGTATCTTGTAAGGCAACCTTACCATCCTCATTAGCCAATGCAAGAATGTGTTCGTACCCTGGTGTTGTACAAAAACGACATGCCAATACAGGTGGTTCAGGATTAAAATCAGGTGCATTTGTAGTTGGTAATATTCCATGGTATACATCATTCCTAAAGCATTTTAATCTGTACAATACAATATCGTAGTCTTTTATCGATTCTGAAATAAAAAGAAAAGGGTACTTTGATATGAAGTCATGAAAGAAAAGATTAATCTACAAATTCATAGCATAGAGTTCTAATGTTAAAATATCCTTAGGGTATTAAATCGTCTAGGAAACATTGTTGGCAGATGACAATTACAGATCATCAAGAATTCATTGTTGTAACCTCTCAAATGAAGAGAATAAACGAATTTAATGATTTTACGGATGATACGACTTACCAAAACCTTCTTGTCTTCTATTAATAGCACGAACCACATTCATTTTGTATGCGCATCAAATAAATTCAGTCAGTCAATTTCTCGTGCGTCTTGTTTATATCGGTCGGAACATTACGCGGGAAAATCTGTCAGTTTTCCCGCACAATCGTAAAATTAACATGCAGTCTCATTTTCAATTCACGATATAGAGATGACTAGGGAAATGCACAACGTTACGGTTTTAGACGATACCAAAACCATGGCACTAAATCGTAGCGGCAAGGCTGGAAGCAGGATTCTGTGATCATGGCTTCCGTCGACAATGTGAATCCCGTCTTAACCGAGTTAAACGTGAACACGAACGTGTAGCTTGGCGGGCAGAGGTTCTCCGGTACTCACCGCTGGTTCCCAAAGCAACTCTTAGAACGAGACCGGGAAATATAGAACTTTTCAAGAATTATTGAAAAAGCTTATTGTTGAAATATTTTTAAGACATTTTTAAGAAAGTGCCAACTTGACACCCGTGTAGCACCTCAATTTTTACTAAATATTATTGGATCTTGATTTACTTTCAAAATTTATTCAAAATATACAATTGAAGTTAAATCAAAATCTCGCAGAATATACGGAGTAGATAAAATTTGAATTGAAATTGTAGAATATCGAAAATAAATTAAATTCAAATTGAAATGGGCCCCTCCACGCCCATTTCTGTGAGTTCCTGCCTCTCCTGAAGGGAGCTACGACCCCTCCGAGGCCCCATAGGGGACCGTGTTTGTTTTTTTACTGAGGAAAACCCCCGAGTCCTGCGGCTTTCGCGCACAGGACTAGGGGGGAAAAACCTCAGGAAGGAAAGGAAGTCAGGTCGAGGGACAAGAAAAACGCACAAGGGGGTAAGGTGAAGTTAAACGCGAAAAAGCTAAGATAAGTTAAACACGAAAGGGACAAGTTAAACGCGAAAGGTCTACCCCTAGTCAAGATTCACGGCAACGAAAAACTCCAGTGCTCACCCACACTCTCCGCCATCTCCCACTCTCAGAGTCCTGCCGCGACGAATTTGCGCGCATACAATTTTGGGCAACTCCCAATAATTTCTAAATGTGCTTGGCCTGAATTTCCGGTTTCTGAGTGTTAATATTTTACTTTATTGATTTAATTATTTATTTTAATGTTACAAACACTTAATTTATTAATATTTCAAATTTATGTGCTTGGCCTGAATTTCCGGTTTCTGAGTGTTAATATTTTACTTTATTGATTTAATTATTTATTTTAATGTTACAAACACCTAATTTATTAATATTTCAAATTTAATTTAATTTATTTTCGATATTCTACAATTTCAATTCAAATTTTATCTACTCCGTATATTCTGCGAGATTTTTATTTAGCTTCAATTTTATATTTTGAATAAATTTTGAAAGTAAATCAAGATCCAATAATATTTAGTAAAAATTGAGGTGTTACACGGGTGTCAAGTTGGCACTTTCTTAAAAATGTCTTAAAAATATTTCAACAATAAGCTTTTTCAATAATTCTTGAAAAGTTCTATATTTCCCGGTCTCGTTCTAAGAGTTGCTTTGGGAACCAGCGGTGAGTACCGGAGAACCTCTGCCCGCCAAGCTATGCGTTCGTGTTCACGTTTAACTCGGTTAAGACGGGATTCGCATTGTCGACGGAAGCTATGATCACAGAATCCTACTTCCAGACTTGCCGCTACGATTTAGCGGCATGATTTTGGTACCGCCTAAAACCGTAGCGTTGTGCATCTCCCTACTCATCTCTGTACGAATTCCGTTACGTTTTTGTTCCAAATGATCATCTTTGGAACGCACTAACCTTCAATGGTGTATGGCGTTGAAAATGCTAGCGAATTGTTTAGATACCGCTCTTTTTTTCTTTTATGTATTTATTTCTGTAGCGTTTGGACGCGATTATTTAAATAATAATTACGGATTTGTTAAACGGTAATGTTATGTTATGTTAACAATGTTACTTAAACCTTCAAATCTGTCAATCCTACTGTCATTTCTGTTTAGTAAGTGGTGGTATGCACATTTAAGTATTTCAATATGAAAGTTTTCTTGATAAATGTAATATAACATTAACAAGTGTCATATTATTTTGTGAGTTCAATGTGAAAAATTATGGAAGAAGAGTTCGATGATATTGATGTTAATAATGAATTTTTATCCCAGTCGTACATCCAAGGCATCAGTAGGTAAGTCTCTTGTATTTTTTTTTATATTTTTCAAAGTTCCTGTGGGTTACGTTCACATTGATTTGGATCAATAGTCTAAAATAACTTCAGATATGAATTTAAGTAATTGTTGTGCAATATTTTTGTATATGTTCAGGAAAAGCTAAGGTATTTTTTTTTTTCAAGATTTAGGCTGCCAACTTTCTTGTTGGATTTAGTGTTCTTAGGAGTACATTAATATATATGTTAAAGGATCGATTACCAATAAAATTATTTCTTGCCTCGTTATCTGCACAAAATCTACAACAGCCTAAAAGTTGATATCGGTAGTTGTTTTTTTTTCTGGATATAATTTTATATCAAATCATTTACCTTGACTTCTGGTTATAATAACATATATTCCAGGATAACAGGAAGAAAAGAAGAAGATGTTTCCATATTTAATATTCCGGAGGAAATTATTCTGAAGCGTAAGGAAGTTTGGAACAAACTGTTCCTAAAGTATTCAGAAAATGTAAGTTGAGTAATATTTTATGAAATATATTTCAAATTATATAGTATGTTAGGTGCTCTTTATATTCAATTTGATATAGGTTTCAGATGAAACAGAACTTGATATTCACACGTTTGAACCTGTTGAAGAAAATAATAAATCTCATGAATTAGAGCCTCGCTTACCTATGCGAAAACCTTCCTACCAAGTACAGTACTGGGTAGATACTGGAATGCCACCCTACAAAGCACTGGATGAGAATAATCACTCTGATCCTGGATCATCCCTGAGTGAATACGAACAATCACCACTGTCAGCATCTAATCATTTTAAATTGGCTCAGTGTGATAATATTCAACCAGCCGTTCGTTGTACATCCTCCAGCAGTTCAATAGATACTGCTGTTTATATCTTATCGAACGCAAATACCACTAAGAAAGCTGATACCATTGCTATTATGGAAGGTGCAAAGCCTTATAATAATGCAGATGCATCGGGTAATGCTGCCATCGTCATAAATCAATGTAAAACTCCAATACCTGTCCCGAAATCTATTTTGCAACCTCAAACAGTGGCATCAGATATTCATAGCGAAACAACTGAAATTATATTCCATAACAGGAACTCACAACGTCCTAGTGGTCCACTGAAAAATAATAAAAATACAAGATCACCTTTAATTTTGGACAATGAAAAAGAAAATTCATTATCTGACGATACACAGACGGATAACGAGTTAAATTGCTCGTTAACATCGGTTCATTTTGAAAGATTATTGAAAAGCCCACTTTTCAATAATACATTTTACAATAAAACAGCTCAATATAGTTCCAAGAAACCCGATATATTGGATGTGCCTTCCCAGTCAACATCAACCGCATACAGGGCTCAGAATGCTAATAATTTGGAGAGCGATTCCAGTGAAGAAACATCTCAGCGTGTTTCAATGAAAAAATCGCTGAAGAAAAGTCGAACTCGAAGAATGGCCAGAGCAGACAACGCTGCATCAAAAGCATTGCATCGCAGAAAATTATATACAGACAGAAACTCACCAGTGGATCTTATCACTCCTGTTGTCAAGAACGTTGGTAAATTATCTCCAATCAAAGAAGCTGTAAAGGCTAAACAAAGTTTACACCCCGCTTTGGAAACTCCTCATTCTACACAAGATAAAACTTCGATGATAATGAGGCGCGCCAAAATGCGAGCGCGGATGAAAATGAAAAGAGCATCATTGCTTTCGTCAACTCTCGGTGAAACCAGTCATGAGAGTGATCCTAGTACGTCAATTAACTCTACTATACCTAACAACGAATCCGTGAATGACGCCACAGAACTTCAGGAAGTCACAGCAGCTAAGGAGCAAGATACAGCGATTGCTCCCTGTAACTTGGGTGAAACATGGAAAGTTCTATCTGCTAATTTGAATCCTGTAGTTCGACTACAACGAATAGACGTTGAATCATGGATGAAATTAATGACATCGGAAAGACGTAATACGACAATCGAGGATAAAAATCCGGTGAACCAATGTACACTGACAAAACAGAATTTGTTGGACATGGAAGAGCGGATAAGAAGTGCCAATAATAATGCCATTACGTATTCCATTACGAAATGTTCCTATGTAGAAACAGTTGATAGTAATCAGAGTACAATTATTATGTGCAAGTGCACTGATAATTCAGTACAATCAAAGACATTGAACGATAGCCGTTGTAATGATAATTTTGATATTGTGAAGCATTGTTTTGATAGTAGTAAAAATCCACTAGAAGAAGATATTGATTGTGAGAATAATAACAACAGCGCAGCGCTCGAAGATGCGTTGAAATTGAGAATGTCAATTGAAGCGTCGAATAAGCGTCCCGAACATCAAATGGATCAAGAAGCCATCGATGGTGCTGAAGTTCCAGAAATCATGAAAGAATCAGAAACTCGTGATAGAATAGTTCCGTCGTTGGAATTACGAAGATCGGAAACTGAAAAGATATCTAAGTCTTCGGTAAGATTATTGCCAAGGAGTGTAGATTTGCAAAATCAATCAAAAACAAATTGGCAGCCCAAAGTGGATCCAGTGAAAAAAAAATTTAAAAGGGTTTTAAGAAGTGCAAACAGACAAATTAGATCAAATATGTCTAAGAGTAATATTAAAATGACTCTACGTAAAAGATCCCAAGAGCAAGTTGATCGAATGCAGGAAAGTGACGATGACGAGATATCATATACGTCATCATCAATAAAAAGCTACATAAGCGACATTAAAAGCATTGAAGAGACCAAGAGGGAAGCAATAGCGAATGCTGAAAAATTAATCATACGATTGGAAAGGTTGCCTTCAAACATATTACCTAATAAAATTAGAAAATATGAAAATTCTGGCAAGAAAAGTAAAGTTGTCGAGTTTAAGGAAATGCCAAGAGAATGTCAAAAATTATCAGAACAATTGAAAGTCGTTAAATTTACTAAGAAACTCCTTAGCAAGTTTCACAATAACAGTAACAATGCATTAGACAATAGTTTATCCTGCTCAGAGGAATCTTCCACCAGTGACATAACAAAAGAAATTGATATCATTAAAAATCCCAGGACAATGATAAATAGCAATTCCTCAAAGAATGGTTCGACTACTATTGTCACTATAGGAACATCAACAAAGAGTATTTGCATGTCGAGTGGAGATTGCAGTGAATCTATTTTGAAGTCTAGTCAGAGTGCTAATTGGCTAACTTTAGATCTAATGTCATCTGCCAATGAGGATGATGATATTTTCAATGTTGTCAAATCTACTGAAAAGAATAAGCGAAGGAAATCAATGAGAAAAATTTGCAATATTTCTGACACATCGAGTACGAATTCATCAACAAGAATAACGAGGAGTAGGGCTTCTTCCCTTAAGAAATCTAGTAATGTTAAAGAACAATCATCAGATGTCCCCAATAAAATGGAGAAAACTAAAAGAAACGACTACAGTTCCAGTGAAATATTAAGCAAAGACAGTAGAAAAGGATCAGACACTTCCAGCACAATAAAATCTAGAGAAATATTAACAGTTAATGATATAATATACAATTCTAAAAGAATCACTCGTAGTCGTAGTAAGACTTTACCGATTTTGTGTACAGAAACTGGTTGGAGGACTAGAAAAATTCAGAGAACTACAAGAAATAGACTATGTGGAAGTGCAGAAAATATGAGCGAGTCTTCCGATACTTTGCAAAATTGCGGCCATTCTGTTCAATCACGAAAACTTAGATCGTCTAATTCATTAATATCATCAGACTCATCTGCAGTGTCACGTGTTAAAAAGAAAACTTCTCCACTCGTGACATTAAATCGGCGATCCAATTTAAAAAAATTACCCAAGAAATCTTTTGATGAAACAGTCATGACTTCTAATTCTGCAATGATATCTACAAGAAGTAAAGGACTTATTTATGAAAACGGTTTGAAACCAGAAAATGCGAAATCTACCTCACCGAGAAAATCGCAGACGCCGCTTTTGAAAAAAGCTGAATGCACTTCGCAGTGTACTAGAGTGCTCCCAGCGTCATTAGATTCCACGTCTGATTCAACTGACGGAATTATCGTGGATCAAAAATCGATTGGTTCGATTCTTAAAAAGAGAAAACTAGACAAAGATGTTCAGGAAAAATCAGTTTTACCAAAGAATGTCAATGAAAAAACTATGAATTTATCAAAATTTCGTGGAAAATACAGAAACAACGTTTCGGACATGTCATCCTCATCCAGTGACCTAAACGGAAGATATACAAAATTATTATCACCAACCAAAAGTAAATTTACAAGATCAAAAAACAATTCTCAAATAAATACGACATGCGCAAAATTAACGAATGAAACAAAATCAATCAAGCCTAATGGATCGTTAACATTAATAAAATATTTTAATAATACTTCCGACGAATCTCTCATTAGCTTTAGTTCGTCGCGTGACAATTTTGAAAAATCTAAAAAAATTAGTATTACAGAAGATACCATGCGGATATCAGTTGGCAAGAAAAGTTCTGAAGTTGAAAAACCTGTCGTTTATCAAGCGATAACTTTTCATCAAAATTCAGAATCTGACGACTACTAAATATTAGGCACTGTATCATTTATAAATTATATATTTGACTGTACATTGTTGTAATCATTAGGTTATTAGATACCTTAATATTTTGTAATATGCGTTAAATAGCTTTAAATTAATTAATTACAGTTAATGTTGCTGACTGATTCGTAGAAGAAAGTCTTATAAACGTCCTACGGTACTATTAATATAAAGCCTTGGTAACTTAATCAGTGAATTTTGTTAAAAAGATAAATAGGAAAAAAATGTTATATTTTTAATTACTAATATATCCTGTAAATCCTTTATTCAAACTTATCCCAGTTTTGAGTGACTCTCGGCGAGAATTGGTTATTCATACTAAATACTGTGGACCGTATTATCAGTGAAAAAGAGAAAAATGTTCCTAATTTATATTCTAATAAAAAAAAAATTAATGTACATTCAAAAGAGAGAGAGGAGCAACTCCAACTTTTCAATTTCATCCCTGTGATTCTTCCAGCCAAAGCGTTACTTATTTAGCAAAACTCACAAAGATTATTATTATTATTACAGTATTCTGTACAGCCATTAATGATATGTTTATCGGAAAAAGACGTAACTGAAGTTGATGATCCACCTGTCAAACTATTTATTAGATTTTCAATTCTTGGAGTTGTGCTTCGCCTTCTTATTTTTCTGTATCAGAATTGCCTACGGTAACTAACGACCTGAATAAATAATATTTTAACAATCGATGCGTCTTTATTTTCTGGTGATTCATTTTCTTCTTTAATTCAGCGTTTAGCTGTACCAACGACGTGGCGTCGTGTCAAAGTTAAATGAAAACCTTGAGAAACATAACCTTGAAGTGTTATGGGATTCCATGCGACTTCCTGAAAACCTGTCTTTTCAATGTCTTTAATAGGATTTGAATCTAGACGACAGCCGCCAAACAATGCTGGCCAGATCCCAGTTTTTGTGAGTATCTTTTGCAACCACCTGATAAAGGTTTTATCATTTTCCATTGTGTGTTCAAAAAACAGATAAGTTCCACCCTGTGAAATAAAAGATTGTCATATAAGTCTTCACGAATAGTTCAGGTCTCGGTAACCTTAAATTTCTTACCGGTGCTAAGACTCTATATATTTCACGAAGAGTCGACCTAACTGATCTGGTCGAACAAAGTGATCTCGTAGTTACAACAACGTCTACACAGCCCGATGGAATACCTTTGAGTGAGCTACCATCGCCGATCATTAAACGTTCAATAGTAATATGCGAAAATTCGTAAGATCTTTCTCCATTGATTAAATAATCGCCCAACTTTCGATTCCAATCGACGCAGATCAAATGAGTCCCGTCAGGATAGTATTGTATATTGTTACCTTTTTTGAGGGAACAAATTTTTTGGTATAAAAAAAATTAAAAAATTATATACATTCTATCCCAACCTGTTTTCACGCCAATCTCAAGAATGCGAACTTTGCCCATTATTTTCAAAATTTCATCCTTCGATTCTGTATATCTCAAATTTTTAAAAAGTCGCTTTTTATGTGACCCGGCAAGCTCGGCACATTCCATCTCGAAGCCCAATAAATAAGAGCGATATAAATTCTCGCAAAATTTCGACCATTTCTTGGTGATCCAAAATATTAACACGGACGTGACAATCAATATAGATCCGTAAATAGTAATGAGATCACGTATCCACAGATCCTTCGCACTCATAATAAGAGATTCAACGATCTCGCCGATACAAAATTGGTAATATTGGTTATACAAAAGTCAATAATCAATCTATGCACTGCACAACGACAATTCTTATTAACCATCATGTAATTTCACTGACTTGACATGTATATAACCCGGCATGCATAGGATAGGGAGTGACATACCCAAATAACTCACTCATATTAATAAATAAATATATTTCCATTTCATTTGATTATTTTCTTATCAATCTATTAAATAAATATAAAATGTTTTATATAATCCATTAAAAAAAATTGACCAAATCAAATTTTCTTAAAATAGCCCGTTTCACTTATTCGAGTATGTCACTCCCAAATTACTCCCTACGCACACTGGATTAATATAATATAATAACACACTTGTCAGTTAATATCACAACCCTACACTACATATATGCTATTAAAACCAACGTCAAACAGACTTATCTAGTTTCTACGAATCCAACGTGATCTTAAATATGCAATTTACTGACCAAGAATTATGAAGTGACTCGGACGACAAATTTACTCGAGACGCCAGTCTCAATCGGTAATGATAAGATAAGGATGACTAGTTTATTTTCTGGAATTATGTAGTGTTATTTCGTAATCAAGGATGCGCAATAGTCTTACGAAATGATAATTATAACATAAATGAATACATATCACTGTCCCAATAAATAATAAATAAAATTAAAAATCAAAACGTACAGGCGGTTCGATAAGAGTGGCTTAATGAAATTTGATTCACGTGACAATTTCAATCATCGGTAAGTGAACGTACGTAAAATGACTTCGTGACTGTAGCTATGTCGTTACAGTTCCGCTGCAACGTGACATGTGTCGCGTCTATTAGCATAAGCACGTTAAAACAATAACGAGCGATCAGCGACTACAGAATGACAGATGGATGCGTGACATTTCTCCTGGTATTTCGTGAGCAAAGTGCCAGTCGCTCATATAGAAACGATCGTTTCGTTCGATCGTGAGAATTGGAGTACTGTAACGGTTTTATTAGAACAGCAGAGAAGAATCGAGTACATGATCGATATGTTTAATTAACACGATACATGTGTGATTAATTTTTTTTTTTTTCATTGATCTTATCGATTTTGATCGACATATTTGACAGATTTTTTTTCGTACCGTAGTTCGACGACCCGTAGAAACGCGGCTTGTGGTAGCGGACGACGAAGAATCGAAAGTCAGAAATAAAAAAATGGAAGAAAGAAGCGAGAAAACAATGCTTTTTTTCCGGCAAGGGAAACAGGGTGGCGCGGGGAATGAGGGGTGCGTGTACCATACCACTGCGTGTACCATAATGGATGCGAAAAATCGATGCTGGGAGAAATGCTTGACTGTCGTTACCAGGGTGCATTTCTTTGTCGAGGAGGTTTAAGAGTGACCACAAACAACGGGGTCGCCGATTACGCTCGACCGGGTGTAACCTCTCATGAGCAAAGGCCGAATATACGAATTCGATTGTGAGGCATTTCGCGATCCGGAGGCGTTTTGTTTTCGACATCAGGGCGGAGAGGAGGCTGGCTGCTTTCGTGATGGTTCATTCGTTCGAGAGAATCGTTAATGAAACTGGTCGCTTATGGCAATAGAGGTTGGTTGAGGATCAGCATTGACTTTGAAATATAATTTTTTTGTCCGAAAGACTTTTTTTTTATTTCCTGAAAAAAAAAGAAATGCAAATTCTTCAGCATCGGTCCACTTGGCATATCAACCAGGTTGACAGAAAGCTTGCGGAGGAACATTTAAATCTTTTTTTTCACTCTTCAAAGATCAGACTGATAACCACCCGCTATTGTTGGAGTCTACTTCGTGCCTGTGCAATAAGCTGCCCAAAGTTGAGAAGTGCTTGTTTTTTTTTTTTTTTCGTCTGCTGCAAGTGTCTTCCGCTTCTTGCTACGTGCAGACAAATATACTGGTTAAATCTGCTGACGTTATACTGCAGTCACGTCGTGACGTAACGGCGGCAAAATAAAAAATATTTCATCCTTAGAAAACTTAGCGTACACTTTTGGTAAGGTTGAACATAGGTATTAATAGTCGATGGAGATTTTCTTTTTTTGGAAAATTGTAATTCATTTTTGGATTTTTCAATTTTTTCGAAATTTCAATCTTGTCAAAGAAAGTCACTGAGAAGAGTAAACTGTTTGAAAAGGCAATTCAGGCTGCCTTTTCAAAATGAAATTTTCAAACTCCAAAACCTCGAATACTCATACGTACAGACCTACGTCCAAAAAATGGCAGATGCTCTCGTCGTTAACCACGCAACCCCTTATTCGCTTTGGGGGTGGCAACCTGGGCTCACTCGTCGATTACGCAAAGTGTGGCGGCATTTAGTCCAGCTAATTGCCAAGCCGAACCGACAGAGGCGAAGGGTGCCGTTTGTCGCATGTGACGGAATTTTCGACACGCGACATAGCGACTTACTAGTATCACACATCAGAGAACATATGTCACATATAATGCTGCCGTATACTGACTTCTTATAAATACCTGCACGCGACACGTTTTTGCTTTAGGCTATCAGAGGACACGTTATGCATGCGGTCAGTGGATACTGATTAACAGGAGGAACAGTATGGATATACATATATATATATATATACGCATATAGAAAAAGAAGTAACATATTGTATATACACTACAGAAATAGATAACAGAAAAAAGTTACAAGATTTTAAAAATGCCGCCATATTTTAAAAAGGTCTACATATAAAAAGGTCACTCTTATTTTCTTTGTTGATTTTGCCAAAAACAATCTCATGGCTGATAAAACTCTAAGGTTGACTATGGCTTGTATACGGGATATAGTGTGGTACAAGATGCTACTTCGGTTGAAAATTTTTTTATTTTTTTTTTGTTCTTATGATATTCCTGGCGAATACCTTGTCCCGAGTGGAGTTTGCTTGAGAGGAAATTGTTTTTTTTGAGTGTCGCTACGACAGCGGACGGCATTGTACCTATTGTTGGCGAATTGTAATCAATATTTTCACAATATGGCAGCATTGTCCGGGGCACGAGCGAAGCGTGAGAGTGCTTCATGTGCTTGAGGAATAAGCTCACCCTACAAGTTTTAGCTAGGAAGCTTCTTTTCGTTTTTTGAATGTCATTCTACGTTGAGAAGTGACCGTGAAAAATTTACTCCCTGAGATCAATTTTTGAGAACCATTTGGATTTTTCGGTCACGGTGGTTTCTAGTTGTTTTTCTATTTTTTGTTTACATCCTTGCCACTGCCATAAAACCAGAGCATCGTAAAACGAGTCTCGGAGAAGAACTGCAGGAAGATCCTTGAAGATTTACATTTTTTTTTCTCTTAAATTGTCCAACCCGTCTGACCTACTGACTCCTTTTCCTTTTCTACGTAAAAGTGTTCTAAAAAAAAAACAAAAAAAAAAACGGGAAAACATTTTCAAATTCCATAGATACGCGTCTCGAGTCTTTTAAAAGAGGCTCAAAATGTCTTGTATAGACACAGGACGATTTCTCCTTTACGACTGAACATCCTAGGCGTTCTAATATTTTCACCTTCTGTCGTTCTACTAGATCTTATTCTATGCTTTTATCCTTGTACATTTTTTTTCATCCATTTCAAATACAAATTTATTTTTGAAAGAATTGTCGACAAAAATTCTACGGCAGGTGAATTCTGCGAACTGGGCCCAACTCAGAGACTGGACCATTACGTGGTAGTTAAGTGTTATCTTTATATGTTATTGAGCCTTCCGAGCATCCTACGGTAGCGGACTTTTAATTTTATGAGAACGATACAATAAGTGCATTGGTTAATCTTGAAGTTTTGAAGCAACTCACCGTCCGAAAAAACCATTAGGGTTATCGTGAACGGTAGAAATTCTTTTTTCTCTTTTATTAGAAGAAGATAATCAATTCCAACGTTAGTGTTAGTATAACCGTATTTAAGTAAAGGTCCTTGCCGACCAAGGACCTAAGGATATTTATCTCGAGGATGACCCAAGCTGATACTCTGTCCGCGTGTCCTCGCGTGCCAGCGGGATCGCATAAGCGTTACACGAAGAAAATTTTCCTCAAGGCTCGTTCACATTGTCGCGACGGTAATAAGTAAAGTCAATTCTATACTGACCGCCGTAAATCAGGACGTCTTTCCTGACTTTAACTTCGTATCCCGGTGCATTGGGATTCCTTATGACTTGTTGACGGTACTCATTGTCAACTGTATTTAATGCCTTTATTATTTTACGACTGACCTCAGGCACGTTGCTCCTCTTAGAAAATTATTTTTGCTTCACTTCCTCCTTCATATTTTCATGCCTGTGTATCCTTGACGTAATAAAGACCACGCGACCCGTCGCTCATCCTTTCCATGAGGATTCGCCCTGCACTGATCCTCGAAGACGCTCGTTAAACCATTGGACACGGTACTTGGGTATTTGAAACGAAAAAATTTGAGGTTATGTAGCAAAATTTTTGTAATTGTTCAAAATCGAATTTACCATTATTCAGTTTTCATGAAGGCGACTTACAGAATGCGTGAGAACTTTTGGTATACTTACTCGGAAGGATTCTTTTTGAAGTTCTAAGGAACCCGTAGACAACCTGACACTATTTTCCAAACAATGAACCAAACGGTCAGTACTAAGTGGAAATGTTACACGTTTAGGAAAAAAAGATAAAAAAATTAAAAAGCTTCTGTGGAGAGTTCTGCTCAGGATCCTTTTCAGGAATTTAAGGCAGTCTTATCTGACAGATTTTATTCATAGGGAAAATCGTTAAGGCGATTCACAGGATCATTGATAGTGGATTGTAGATCATACTTGAATCGTGGAGGAAAAGAGGTTTACGTTTTGGTAAGTAAGGACGAGTTTTACCAAACGTAACTGCGTTAACAATGTAAAAGGAAAAATCAGACATTTTTGTAAGGACGATTTGGCGCAGGTCCTTGCTCTTGTCTTGCGTTCAAGAAAATCTCTTCTTCGAGGTTTCCCGTCAGTTTATGGTGGCCATAAAACAATTACCGGACATCACAGCGTGAAGCCATTCATTGATCGCCATGTTGTTTCTTCTTTTTTTCTCTATGTGGACTACGTGATTTACCGTCAGTCTCACGACGTGCAGACCTCTTCTGGATTTTTCTTTACTGCAGGGAAAAATAATGAGAAAGGAGGAAAAAATTTGAAGATGAAAGGTCGTATCTCAGAATTGGGTGATTCTGTTACTTTTTTGAAATTTGGCTATTGGTAACACTTTTTTTGAAAATCAGTCATCTTGGCTGACTGAAAGAATTCAATGGTCTTCGTTAAAATATTGCTGACTCTGCGTGTTAGGAATTTAATTTTCAAAGTATTTCCTACTCGCATTATTTCAGATGGAATTCGCGGCACCAATTAGTGCCAGTAAAAAATACCATGTCTGTCACACTGATAAGAATCTACTATCGAAGTTATTCCTGGGAGAATAATTTTCGATGCATTATGCATACCTAGAATTTTGGGGATGAGAATTTTTTTCTTGTCAGAGAAAAAATTCCGGACACGTATGGTATGACATTTCCTTGTTTAATTTTGAGTCCC